TCCATTGGTTGTCTTGCTGATGTGAACTTTAACCTTCTTGTTGCTTCCTATTGGTTGATAGATTGGGTCAGTCTTAATACATCTGCTGATCACTGGCTGACCTGAATCCCGATCTGCTAAAAATTCTCTGGCATACATTGTATTTTGTCTCAATAGGATTTCCACATTCTTCTAGTCACCTTCATGTCCACAGTTGTCCGTCGATATGAGCGATGATAGGTCATGATACTTCTTTGCTAGTTGACGTTCATGTAGACGGATACGGAGATGGTAACCACTCTATTCGACACAGTGTTTTTCACAGTTTTCGAGGATAACGTTTGGTTCGTCTTCCTTTATTATTACATCTTTTGGCCCTCATAACAGAGAGTGAAGAGATTTTGTGATCTTGTGAGCTACGGCGATTCCAAAGGGCTTCAATAATCTAGTCTTGACCTTGGGGGTTGTTGTTCAAGTAAGACAAAGATAAGACAAAGATCCCATTTAGGTAGCCTGTGTCTTTCTGCGTGGTTCAGAACAACAGTCAGAGACTTCATGCATTTGGGCTTCATCTTTCCCTGGGAACCCTTAACCTATTTCCAGCTCAATACTACTTCGGTCAACATCACGTATCAACAAAGAAGACGCCTCGATGTGCGCAAGACAATTTCAAACTTCACTGAACATGAATATGTAGTCTGCTTATCAAGTCAGCTAGGAAACTCCTAGGGGTAAGTATTTCTTTGAGAAATCGGAGATATGTAGGTATATGTTCATCAGCAAATCTTTGACGAAGTCAGGTGAGAATAGTGATAATGCACATTCTTCACTTGTACCACTGGTTGTTATTACCCTCAGAGATAACTCTCTGCAAGCTGCAACCTGATTGTATGAGTTTGACCAGAGAGCCTTAATTAACATAATATATTTCCTCGGTACTCTCTTCATTGTCAAGAACTACAAGAACACCTCTCGGTCAGAGGAATTGGATTAAATCTTTAGATCAGAATACTTAGCGAATGCTGGATGTCAATAATTTTCCCCACTTTACTAAGCGTATCAAATGGTGAGGATTTGGTAGATGTACCCTAGTTCATATCTGAAATATGCCTGGACTTCTGGAGTTTGTTGTTGTCAAGCTGCATTTAGGCGTTAGTGAATAAACCTTCAGATCTCCAACATGTTGTTAGTGAATTTATTTCTCCTGGTGCCCTCCCAAGAAGACTTCTGCCCTTTCTCAAATACCAGGATGACCAGTGACCAAGATCATTTTAACTGCTCTTCCTTTAATTGTTATACGCCATTTAGTACTTAGCTTACTCGAATGAGTAGTTTTCTGTCTTCATCTTTAAACCTCTTGGCGACAAAACTGTCAGTCCCTATTGCTTTGCTCCAATTCAGATTTGGAACATTCTAATCCCTCTTCGATCACAGTTGGAGAACCTATTCAATTATTACGTCATGGTTTTCTTTGGCTAGTGAGTATTAAAACTAAAAAACGGCTAAGATGTTAAGGTTTCCACTAATTTTGAAGTGCTCCTGTGAATAAATTTTGTTATACTTCTCAAAAATGAGCTAAAATAGCTTAGAATGCTAATAGCCATGAAAAATCTGCAGAAACGTATGCCAAAAAGGGTTCTTTCAGTACCTTGGTTTGTGTCACCCCTACAATTCCGAAAATTCAGAGTTTGAGTCTTATTCATCTTGAGCGCTGACATAGCTGTGTAGGCGATGGACACTTCTTGGCTGTCCACAACGTGGAGGGTTAAGTCTTCTTAAAGTGCCTGAAAAAGAAGGTTTAGTGCGTGACCGCAGAGTCCAAGAGACATTTGCTTGAGGCCGGTCATGAACGGTCTTTTCGGTGCCATAACATTGGCCTGTATTATAGAAAATGTAGTCGGACATACGTCATGTGGTTCTGAATCACTACTAACCCCTGAAGATTAATCTAAACAATCATAATGCATCATGTACTTAGCATAGGAGTGAAACTTGAACAATGTGATAGATTGCAATTCCATTTTAGTCTGTTATTAGAAATGTTACAAGTGAAACAGTATCATTTATAATGCATAACGTTTCAGAAAGAATTTATTGTCTATATTCGTATCAGGTAACTCCACAACTTTGAGACAGAGTTTATGTAGTCCTAATTTTCTCTCCGTCTTTGTAACAAGAATAGTAAAATTTCCCATGTGTCTGGGACAGGTGCAAAACCATTTCGATTGCATGTATTTGGTATTGATTCGACAAACAAAGATTCGGTTATCAATCTCTCCCTCCACCCAACTGAGTTAGTTTTAACGCTGTTGCTCTATCTCACCCTACTTTGTGATTATGTGTAATTGCGTGCAGAGCTATAGCCGAACATTTCTCTAAATTCGTTATCTTATTAGGATCTACTAATCTTGAATTGGTTAAGCTTTCGTGCTCCGTTATTTTTATAACCTTCGTTAACTTCTGTGACCTATGTATTTAACCTCGCAATCATTGCAAGGGATCTGGTAAACCAGATTATTTTGCTTAATTGTTTCGATAGGATTTTTTAACCTACAAAGCTTGTTTCTAAGTGAGTTTGTTGGTTTAAATGCTAATTTAATCCTAGCCTTATTAAGAATTATTCGTAATAGTTCTGAAGTGTCTTCCTAGTATGCTAACACAGCGGAGGCTTTGAATTCTCTCTCAAACATGTCATCATTATTACTATTAGTGATAGGATTATTATCAATAACACCTAAATTACTACTACCATTACTGCTAATATTTTTCTTCTGATTCCTTATGAATTTATTTAATAATTTAGGTGGGTAACTACTGAGACGTAAGGTATTCTTGATGTGTCTTTAGGATTTGTCCTGGTGCGAACTTGACAGACGCAAAGACCAATCACTAATTATTCGAACTTGTTATATACCCACGAATACGAGACCAAGGAAGAACACGATAGCGTAGTCGGATGGAATAGTATATTTGGATGGTTATGCCAAAATACCGATGCGTTCCAACTAACTGGCTAGAGAGTCGAATACGAGCAATGCAACGTAACACGACAGCGTGCCAAATGGCCAGGATGCTTGACCGGGTGCCTTCAGCTTAGCGAGTCCAGTTAAACTATCAAGGTCAGCATCAATGTCGAAGTCGTCAAACCCTAGGCTATTGATTTTGGGGAAGTGTATGACGCTACATGTCTAATTTCTTGTTGTCAATTTTCCGGTCCTCTAGTAAGCTTTTCCGCCCTATCACTTAGGCATTCAACTAAGCCTACTCTAACAGAGATGGGGTGGGAGGATTTGAAGTCTGAGTAGCGATTTCAATCGAAACATTGGAACGGAAATATGTTAAGGGTAGCGGTAACTGCTTTTTGTCTAACCACTACCCAACAAACCTTTCTGGTATAGCAGAACCTCGACGGAACAAGCGTTCCACTAGCATATCTCTTTGGGTCACCGTGATATACAAGCCCAACCACCGCGTCAAGGTAGCAGCTGTTGATCAGGTTGGGTCATATTAAAATATTTAATTGGCTCTGTTGTTGTTTTGAAGGTAACATTTGAGTCCAGATATATTGCAAATGGATATAAAACTGTAGTCAACTTATAAAAACTTCTAAAACTTCAAATTAAATCATTTTTTTAAGTGTCAGAAGATTGCAGAAGAATAAGGTGATAATTTCTTTCATTTGCTGGTAACAGTTCCTATGCCCTATTTCTTCACTTCTGGGTTGAGAAATACGGTTGTATACACATAATTATTTGTTTATTAAGGTGTAAGTTACACTTTTGAACACTTATGACGTATCCCCGTATTAATGTGTATGAATAATAAATACTGGAATATCACAAAGGATGAAATAGAACATTACTAAGCGATTTGTCGCCCTATGTTCCACTAGGAACCCAAGGGACTAATAATAAAAAGCGATTTGTCAATGAACAAACGTGTAATTGTCTTTGATACTTCGTTAGTTAGTAGAAGTATTTTAATATTAAAGCAGACCTAGTCGGATATAAACACTCAAAACCTATTCTGAGTTACGTTTTCATACAAATACTTATTTGTATATACACCAACAAATTCACTCTTTCTGTCCTTATTTTCAAGTTGTCATTTCCTATTGACCGAAGAAGAAAGAAGCTTTTCACAATAACACTTAGTTACTAAATTTTAGGTGATACAGTATTTCGGCTAGTTATGTTGTTGCTTACAGTTTCTCATCATTGATTCGACCGAATCGATCGGTTTTGTGAGGATAATGCTTGCTGATGAGTCCTAAATAGGACGGAACATGCAGCCTAAATTCTACTGCTAGCCGCTATCCATCAATGGTATCAATTCAGCTTGTTACCTAGAAAAATTTCCATAGTGTGTAAACTGTGAGGGTCCGAATTCACCTCAGTTACAAATTTTCGTGGTTTAATGCGTAAATGGTGTGACTGTTATGTGACATTCATGTTAACATCTACTTCTTATTTCATGTTATCCTACGATAGAACTTGAAAGTGAGAATCAGCATTATAGTCATAGCTTCTTGGTATTTTTGTTATCGGAGTATTTGTATTACGCTACTAGAGCTTGAAAATCCTCATTTTGATGTACAAGGTTTAATACACTAACTAACTTCTGTTGACATACCAAATCTACAAGAAACTACTTCCCATTAACGAAGGTACCCATAGAGTAAGGTATACGTAACACAAGTAATTGATTCATTGAGTGGAAGTTTGACGCTTGAACAGACATATGAAGAATTTCAGTTCTTCAAGTGACACTAAAAGTTACTCAAACTTTGGGGTACCTAACTAGTGATGCTTCACAAATGGTACTATATTAGATGTTATGAAATTCCTTACTGGACACCATCCAGTAATCTGAACATACTTCACTTTATTGCATGGTGATATGGATCTGTGCTTATCAGAATACATTCCTTGAGAATTTCCTTCGTTTTGGAGATTACATGGATCAAAAAGCCATCACAGCTATCGAAATTATTTAACACATGTTATCCAGTTTTCAACTGTCAGTAAAGTAAGAGAAATTTATTCCACAAATATATTACAAAAACATCTAAAACAAGTAGGGATATGTAAGGAAGTTATAGTGATACCGTTCGACTGTGTAGTAATAACCATGAGGGGACTTCAGCTCTCACAAATTTCATAATACAACATTCAGGTTTTTATATACACCATAGTTTTAACTCATAAAAATTCTTCACTTTCATATATGTCAAGCCTACCAGCTGAATGAGGATTAGGATATGAATTTTTTCGATTATATCTAGAGTTGTAATACTGATGATCTTTCGATGTTGAAGCTGATCGATTGTAAAAGTTTACTTCAGATCTTCTATGTGGTGGAAGTCGACAGTCATCAGGTTGATATTTTCCACTATGTCCAGGGTAAAATGGGATTTGATTTGTAGAGTAAGAATGAGAAAGGTCATTGTTAGACGAAATAAAAGTTCCAAGTTGATCTCCAACTGATCGATGAATTGGTCTACTCATTCCAAAGTTATTTTGATGAATTAAATTTCCGGAAATGAGTTTTGTAGAACCGAAGTTATCAAAGTTATTGATTCTAGTCCATGATAGATTCTTTGGAATATTTGAAAATTTGGGAAGAGTATGTTTCATTTGTGACGAGTGTACTGATATCTGAGTAAACTTTTGCAGTCCATGTTCACCTCTGAATAAATAGCGAAAGTACTAAATTAAAAAAAATAAACAAACATGTAATTAAATGACTTAAACATATCAAAGTGATTATAAACCATTTGATCATCAAAAATTGTGCATACTGTTATAAGAATTACCGAAAACTATATGTTCAGAATCAGTCGCAGAAGAAGAGCCTAAAATAATCAAGGAATATTTTAAGCTTTGGTGTTATTGCTTGTCCTAGGTCAGAGTTTTAGTGAGAACAATATCATTCAGTGAGAGGCAGACACATCCAGCTGAAGAGTGAGTCCTAAATAGGACGAAAAGTGCATCCTGACGGATACTGGCTAGCAGTGGAATCCAGGACACGCATTTCATCCTATTTGGGACTCCTCAGCTGGATGTACCTGCCTTCCAGTGAACAATCTTGTTCCCACCAGCATCAATTTGGTCCACTTAACTATGGGATAATACAAGCAGCAACATTGGTACTGTGAGCTGTTAAAAGGATGGAGTTGCATGCAGTGAGGTACGGAACATGATATAAATTTTTCAAATTTTGTTATTTCTCCGTTTGTTAGAGTTACTGTAAAGTATGATGAGAATCACACAATTTCAGGTTCACAACCTTGAACTATGTGAATTATTTCCAAAAATATATTTGACTCACTGATTGTAAATCACTTTCAATGATTTTTACATCCATTAATTAACTGATATATAATCCAGTATCTTTTCATAAGAATTTGATATCTGTTACCTATTTAGATTATTAAACTTTTTCAGGAGTGGACCGTCAACCTTTAGCTAACTTTATATGAGTATAATTTCCAACTGACCAGAATGAAATTTGTTAAAATGTTTTGGCATATTTTTACTTCAAATTATTAATATATGTAGACTTATTTATCTACAAGGATTAAAAGTATCAAGCTAGACAACTTTAGAAGTATCCTATCATGCATTTACCTTAATTTGTCAACTTTTCTAAACCCCTATCTAGAGGTTCAATACAATTTGATCTTACGAAAAACTTAGAGGTTTAAGCAACAGAGTAATCGATAATTCCCAGGTTCTTGATGGTATTTTCGTGGCAGCTAGTACTGAAACACAAAATGCAAGTTTCTTCTTACTTGAAACCCATCAGATGGATATACTAAAACCTTAGTACTGAAAGTATTCTCAAAGAGATGCATCCCCAGTAACCACTGCCTTACACACAAAAGTGTGATCAACTAGACTACCTAGTTATCATGATCACATCTTGTGTTACAGATGTAAGTTGTTATTAGAAATTGAAACATTCCAGGCTTGATTATCAGAATTGATGTGCTTAATTTGTGTAGATATATTATTAAACAGTAACAAGCCTTTATATTAACATATGCTTCCTGGAGTATTCCAACTTCTGTTAGTTTTCTTTATTCCAGAAACTACACTATTTAATTTTATTTCCGATGACCAAAAATCATTAGTCATTTAAGAGAGATTTCATTCGAAAGTTGAAAGTCTGGAAAGTAACCAGTAAAAGACGGACAGATAGATAAAATCAACGTATAACCTCGCACATAAGTGCATCCATTCAACTTGCAGACTCAACAATAGCATATAAAAAACAGGTGGATTGAAAAAGAATGATATCAAAATAGACAAAGTTGTGTGAGAGAATAAACAATCTGAAGATAAAGGTAAGCGTGTATATCCAAGTTTTAGAAGATGTCAAGGAGTGAATACATCTGCGCCATTGTGATCAATTTTCAGCCATGTCATTAAGACTACTGAATCACTGCTTCTCATCGTCTCGGGAATCCTAGCCAGGTAGTCTACGTTTTCACGCATACGGCTCAACCAATAGTCATGCATTTCATTGATCAATGAAAATCAAACATTTCTGAAATGCTGTTTCTTCCGTATATATAACTGATGAATATTGAATTCTATGTGTACATTGATACTGTACAAAATTACAAAATTAGATTTAAGAATATGTGAACCTAACTTACTGGTCAAAATGATTGGAACAATGTAACAGCTTTTGAATACACGCTTGAACTTTCCATGTAGTAGCAGAAACAGTTCATGAAAACTACATACAGACTACTTAGACATTTGCTAGCTACATTACTTTTTTTCCTTCTACATTTTGCAAACCATAGTGCTATTTTTTAAGTAGTATGTTATCTTTCAATAAAAAAAGGTGTACAGAGTTCATAGAGAAGAGTTACAAGATAAAGCTTGAAATAAGAATTGTTAGGAGTTTCAGGCATGAAGTGCACAGGACTAAACCTCAGAGATAAGATCAGTTTTCACAAACTTAATGATACTATCTGCAAACAGGTTTTAATAACCACGAAATGTATTTTTTATTTACTTGAATTCACTATGAACATCTGTGACAGGTTTCCATAAACAGTTTTGTTAGTGAATTTTATTTTTTGAAGAGTGAATTTTCTTTACACATCATCATTATCAATATCAGAATAGGACTAGGCATTATAGTATAGCGATCCAAGTTGCTACACCTCATACCAGCAAACCGAATAACAAAACAATAAGATGAAAGATAGAGAAATAAAAAGTCAATCAAAATTAGTAGAAAACAGTAAAGAAAGGAAGGAGGAATTAGAAAGTGTCGAATTCACCATAACGTTCAAGATCAAGATAATGTGTGGATATATCTGCACTGATGACATCGATTCTGAACCACAACACCTGTAACCTCCAGTCACTGGTTTCTGTTGTATATATTTACAGCTCATAGAGAGATTTGATTGCATACTAGCAACACTGACTTTTTTATGATACATTCCATACCAAAAAAAATGTTTGTATATTAATCAATACCAACTCGAACTGTTTTTTGAACTAAAGGTACTTCAGCATTACCACTAAATTTACTTCGACTAAATGGTATACTAATCTCAAGTAATAAGTTCGGGTATTCTAGGCATTCCAAAGCTTCTTTTAAGTAAAAGATTGTCCTCTAATTCAACGAAAAAGAATTTCATCAGGTATTGACTATTGACGGCTTCCAGTTCATTTTAGAAGCAAGTGCATTGGTACCACCGAATATATTACTACTTCGACACATAACATCCCTTCTCAAAAGCCTTATGCAAAGATTGAGGTTAAAGTAGACATAATATCAATAAAGGATTGCAAGTCTTGATACAAATTTAAGATACATTTTAAAGAGTAAAATATAGTCAATTTGCTAAAAAATTAATATCATCAACTACCGAATAATTTGTAAACTGATGGCTTCGAAAACGTGCGAATGTTATAATCATCCCAATTACTATCCCCATTAAGACAGGACCAAATGCAATCAACCAACCCAAAAGAGAAAAATTATCTTGAATTGGATCATTCAATGGTGCACGGCTGAATGTTAGACATTGTGAATCAGGTGGTTTTTGTAAACTTGAGAATACATACCATAGGTATATCCCCTTAAAAGTAAAATAAGAACAAAGAAAAAGACAACATTAGTTTGAAAAAAAATCACTAAGTCCTTATTTTCCATTACTATGATAAAGGCGAAATTATTTGAAGGATTGGTAACGTTATGCTATGTTAACTCAGAAAAACGTTATATAGTATATCAGTTCAAGTTAGAAAGTTGAGATATTCATGGGCAGCGAGGATGAAGTGAGAAAATCGAAGTTAAATGTCTTCTGTTCTTTTTGATGGTTAAAATTACTACTAGAAGTCAAATTTCTGTTACGCTTTTGAGTTAACCCACTAACCAATTCGCAATAACTTTGTCTAGTTGTAATTGACTTAAGGATGTGATTCAACTTATTTAATATTAGCGCTGACCTTGAAAGTGATGGGTCTCGAATATACCTGCCTATTTTTGTGTGTGCAATTAAAACCTCGCCTGGTTAACTGGTTCACTAGTTACTAACAGGTCCTAAGCCCGGGTAAAGACAGAAAATTGGGCATAGGGCTAGCAACCCTACACCGGAAAACAAATCTGACCACTAAACAAACTTCAAAGCACAAACAAAATATAAAATAATAACAAAGTTATTCCTCGCTGGAATCGGAGAGGGGAAATGACACCAGTTGGTGAAAGCCTTCGGGAAGCCAATTGGCCGATGTGTCTTCTCTCCCTCGATGAAAGCGAAAGTAAACGTGGGGACATGGAATGTCCGCACCATGTTTGAACCTAGCAAGGCAGCCTAGATTGCAAACGAGATGAGGAGGTATCACATTGAAGTGCTTGGAATTTGCGAAAGCAGATGGAATGTGAGTTGACTCTCCAAACTGTCAACTACAGAATCAATAATCTACTTCGGTCACCCAGACGACAACCACGAGCACACTGAGTTATGGAGTGTCTATCGTGATGTCCCCAAGGGCATCGAAGGCTCTCATGCAGTGAGAACCAATCTCTTCTTGCAGGATCATGACAGCAAGATTCAACTCAAAAGGAAGGAAGGTCACAATCATACAATGCTACGCACCTACAAATGATGCAGAGCAAGAGAAGAAGGAGGAATTCTACAGACAACTTCAACCAACACTGGACAAGACCTCAGTTGGCGATATCAAAATTCTGATGGGCGACATGAATGCCAAACTGGGAGCGGACAACATAGGAAGAGAACTAACCATGGGTCGAGAAGCGCTCGGTGAGATGAACGAAAATGGAGAATTGTTTGCAGAATTGTGTGCATTCAACGATTTGGTGATTGGAGGTAGTGTGTTCAAGCACAAGGATATCCATAAAGCGACATGTAGTTGATTTCACCAGACACCAGGACACACTAAAAATCAGATCGACTTTATCTTAATCTCAAGAAAATGGAGACGCAGTCTACTTGACACAAGGTCAAGAAGAGAAGCAGATGTAGGTTCAGACCACTACTGTCTAGTGCAAGGAACGTACCTTCCAAATCAAGTTGAAAGCCTTCAAGGAAGCTGATGATAGACCACAGTTCAAGTACAACACTCGGAAACTGAAGGACTGAAACTACAAAGGAAATCTTCACATCAGTCAGCCATCAAGACAAAATGGGAGAATATCGAGGAACATTCCTGAATAAATCTGTATGGGAGAACACTGCAACTCTTTGAAAGCTATGTAGAAGGAAACCTGCATAACCGTATTAGGAAGAAACAGATGAAGAAGACAAGGACTGGAATGGATCTCGACGGACATATGGAAGCTGATAGAGCAGGGAGAGGAGGATGCTGAAGCAGAAGATAAACCTAGTGCAAGGATGCACAACGACAAGAGGAAGTGAGTACAATGTATAAAACACTACACTGGACAAAGAAGTGAAGAAGAGTGCACACAAAGACAAAAGACACTTCTACGACACACTGGTAAGTGAAGCACAACAGGCTGCTGGTAGGAGAGATAGAGACCTGACAACATTGCATTAAATAACCAGGTTACTTTCTGGTAGGGAAGAGATCAACGCAGACGAAACCAATAAAAGATGATGAAGGAAATATAATTAGGAAAGAAGAGAAATAAAGGAAACGATGGGCCGACCACTTCAGGAAGCTCTTGAATCGACCACCACTTGCACTTCGTCCAGAAATACCACCTACAGCAGCTGAACTACAAGTGAACATAAATCCTCCAACAAAATGAAAGTTCTGAACGCCACAAAGCTACTGAAATGTGGGAAAGCAGAAGGACCAGACTGAGATCACGCCAGAAGCACTGAGAACAGAGTCAGGGACAACAGCGGACATGCTCACACCACTATTGCAGAAGGTGTGGAAGGAAGAGAAGGTACCTGTTGATTGGAAGAAGGGTTACCTTGTCAAACTGCCTGAAGAAGGGAGACCTCAGTGTTTGCAAGAACTGGGGTGGAATCACTCTCCTGTCCACCCAAGCAAGCAAAATATTAAGCCATATCATCCTGGAGAGGCTTAAAGATGCACTGGATTCAAAACTGCGACCGGAACAGGCAGGCTTCAGGAAGTACAAATCATGTGCAGACCAAATTGCAACGCTTCGCATCATCATAGAACAGAGTATAGAATGGTAATCAGCTCTCCACCTCAACTTTATCGACTTTGAGAAGGCATTTGACAGCGTCGACCGAGAGGTAGTTTGGAAACTGCTTCATTACTACGGAGTACCACAAACCTTTATCCGCCTCATTCAACAACTATATGAAGATGCCACATGCCAAGTAATTCACAATGGGAAGCTCAGTGATGCCTTTGCAGTGAAGTGAAGACAGGAGTAAGATAAGGTTGCCTACTATCCCCCATGATATTCCTGATTGTGTTATGGTGGACTGGATCATGCAGCAAACAGTGGGGAGCTGTGAGAAGAGGGGGATACGCTGGACTGCGGAAAAGAACCTAGAAAATCTGGATTTCCCCGATGACTTGTGCCTGTTGTCACACAAACTTGAAGATCTACAGGCGAGAACTAACAAGTTGACAGAAGAGGCAGAGCAGCGAAGACGGGACTTCAGGTGAATATACAGAAGACAGAGGTGATGAAGATACCACACCAACAACTCCAACAACAACAACAACAAACTCCAATCACCGTCAACGGGAGAAACTCAAAGGAAGTAACCTGCTTCACCTACACCTATCTAGGAAGCACTGTTTCAACTACAGGTGGCACAGACCAGGATGTCAAAGTCAGAATCGGAAAAGCAAGACAGGAGTTCATTAGCCTGAAACCAGCGTGGAGATCTTCGGCACTCAGCTTGTGGAACAAGATCCGGATTTTCAACACCAACTTCAATCAAGTCAGTGCTTTTGTATAGTTCAGAGACTTGGCGCGTTATGAAAGGGATTTCCAATAAACTACAGACATTCATCAACAACTGCTTACGCTCGCTGCTGCAGATCAGATGGCCAGAATAATGAGAATAAGCAACAAGGGGCTCTGGGAACGAACCAACCAAGAACCTATCACGCAACAAATATGCAGGAGGAAGTGGAGATGGATTGAACGGGGCATACACTGAGAAGGCCGACTGGGGACATCATGCATCAGGCCAGTTGCTTGAGTGGAATCCCCATGGGAAGCGACGAGTTGGACGTCCGAGGGTGACATGGAGGAGGTCGTGCGAGGAAGAAATGAGAGCTTGTGGGCTGTCATGGAGCCAGGTTTAAAAGATCTCAGAGAACAGAGTTCACTGGAGACGTGCTACTGAAGCCCTATGTTCCAGTAGGAACCCAAGGGACTATAATAAAAAATAATAATAATGGTGAATATGAAAAGGTTGTGACACTAGTCTTGGTAATATAATCAGATGAGGATTACTAAGGTAAATTAAGTGAAACAACAAATTGTTTTGGTACACAGCGGGGGATTAAGTTTACGAATGGCTAACGCATCGGCAAACTTCACTATGCGCCCCTGATTATTCCTGTATAATATCTTAAATGCTGTTTTCGTATTAACCCTATGATTCATTTCAATAATATGTTTTGCTATAGATGACGATGGATGTCTGCACTTATCAAAGTTTGTGTGTTAAACTGTTTTTCTAGCATCAGGGACGCATACTGAAGTTTTCCGAAGCGTTAGCCATTCGTAAATTTAATCCCCCGCTGTGTGTACAAAAACAATTTGTTGTTTCACTTAATTTACCTTAGTAATCCTTATCTGATTATATTACCCAGACTAGTGTCACAACCTTTTCATATTCACTATATTTGACCTTTAATTTTCATATATAAATTGACTTGACAAGTAAATGTGTGATCAGATTGTTCGAAATGTATTGCGTAAATACATCACATTTTTCAGATAATCTCCATCTTCTAATAGCGTTGTCCAAACGTTATTGCCTATTTTATTCAAGCATCCAACACCAAATATAAGAATGTATAATATTAATTTCCTAAGTCTAGCGGCACAAACTTTAGACACAATTGACAAAATTCGATTAATATTTAACAACTAAATTTATAATGCTGATAAGTTTCTAATCAATAATCAGTATGCTTCACTTGGCCCAATAGTAGGTCATTCCTTCAAAGAAAAAATGTGCAGTGTGGTAGCAAATGTAGGAGACATAATTTCGAGTCTCCGAAGTGAGATCAACTCTGTAAATTCATAGATATGTCTTTTTGTCCAGTCTTAGAAAGCATAGGTCTAAATAAGCACCTATTCAGAAAGTTTAAATGAGAGCAACTACGTAGTAAAATATTTCATCCCATATAATATATAAAACGAAAAAAATGAAAATCATACTTACACTGGAGATAGTAAAAAGTATTGCATAGATACATATAACAAATGTTTTCAACATGGGTGTTTCAAATTTGGTACCTCGTGACTGAGCTGTAAGTAAATCCAACCAAAAAGAAGTATTAGTAATCGGAATGTGCAAAATAGGTTTCCCTACAAGAACCTTAGAATTAGCATACAAACAATGAATGATTTTTGAAGAAAAATGATAATAATTAGACTCGAAATAGATGTTTCTGAACTACTGGTTGCTAGGTAAAATACGCCGACATGACAAGAAATAAAACTGAAGGAGAAGACTGGGTTGAAACTAAGATATAATCGGCAGCTATATCTCTTAACTCAGTTGGTAGACCAAAAGGTTGGTAGCTCGGAGGTTGCTGGTTTCAGTCCTACCACTACACAGATTTTCATTTCCCCTTCCATCATCACTCGATATCAAGAAGACTTTAGCTAAAAATTTATTCTAGATTATTGACTTTGGTTTGTTAGCTGTGAGGTGAAAAGGATACAACAAAAAGAGATAGATAAAACTGAAAGGATGTTAGTTTCTGGTTATTCGTTTGTGAAATGATCAAGTGAAGTAATAATAACGCGAACTATAATAACGTGATGAGATACCTAGACTGGATACGGATAGTGACTACTCTCACTCAGATCTGTTTCTTCACTGAGTCAGGGAAATCACGAGACAAAGACCGACCTGTGACCGTAGGGAAGACTCTTGATTCCACAAAAACATATCATTTATATACAGTTTTCATCAACATATAAAACCACAAAGTGGAAAGTTGGATAGTTATTTTACCTGGTTGAAATTGTCCAATAAAGTCTTTCCTGGCTACACCGTAGCATGAAACAAAGGTTGAAATTCAAAACTCCAATCTTAGTGGCTGATGACTTAGAATGTTAATTTTGATTTGGCTGCTTCTTATCAACTTGGTCAGGCAAAGTTGGTGATCTATAGGTTTTCAGTTCTCTTTTTTCTTATTTCCTTCAAACTTTGGTCGTTGTTTGTTGAATACGAAAATCATACGTTATGCTTTCATTTACTGAACTCACAGAGTAAATCTAAAACACTGAATTTTTTCACAGCACAATCTGCTTTTCTTCCCTAACAGTCAAGTGTTCTTTATGCCATAGTAAAGTACTAATTCTGTTTCACCACCCTGACAGTGAACTAGCCAATGTAGCATCCACTTATTTGGTGTTTTGTTTATCTGGATTATATATAATTCTTATTTTCTGTATGTCTTAATTATGTTGCGTCTCGTAGCAGAAAAAAGAATCAAATAAACATAAGGAACAGCTTTGTAATTATATCACAGGTTCGCAAGTGCTGGAATCTTTCTGAATTTCTGTTAGCGGTAGGTATTTGTAGCATCCTACTAAACGTTATTTTATGCAAATAACATATTTCATTCATAAGTGAATACATATAAGGACAAATAGATATTATAAAATTTCGGTGAAGTATGGTTGCACAACCAACTGATCGGCGCCAGTAATTGTGTAAAGTCAACTCAAAAGTGTGCACCTAATGACTTCAGATATATATATATATATATATATATATATATATATATATATATATATATATATATATATATATATATATATATATATATATATATATATCATTCTACAATCATGGTACAGCTTATTTATCAAAAATATTTGAGATTCACTGGTACTGGCAATACTTACTTTATTAAAAGACACAGAAGACCGTTAATGGATGAAAATTAAGGCCTCTACTAAATGCAATGTAAAATAAATTTCACTTTATGATGCCTTAAAATAACCTTCATAAAACGAAAATACACATCTCGTACTTAAACCGACGAGAAGAATAATAACAGACTGAAAATATCGAAAATCTAGACCGAAAATAGATTAGATTAAGAAACTTGCTTCCTTAATATGAGATGGAAGGTAAACAGTAAATCATGCGAGGATGATGTTAAGTAGCGCAAAAAACTGATGGTATTGTAAATAGCATATACAATCAAAATACTGAAAGAACTTCAATCTAACTCTCAAGTATAAAAATTAAAAAAAAACATAATCTGTTAAACACATTTCACATAACTTACCATATACAGTTAAAAAACCAGCAATTTGTCCAAGTACAGGTATTATCATTAACCGATCAACAAACCAATCAGTTAATCGAACCCAATAAAATCCAGCCTACATATTAAAGGGACAAAATGACACTTTGATTAACACTAGTAATTAATAATTGAACTGTACATCAACTAGTCAAACGTACTTATCTAACAAATAAAAAAGTGAAAAAATTCACTGAACGTTGCACATTTCAATAACTAGCTAAGAATAGCTTGAAGATAGAATAACCATTCCTTTAGTCTGGAATTACACTTTCAACTGTTTATTTTCAGAAAACTGTTCTTAAACATACATACCGTTTTAGTCAGCAGAAACAGTTTAACCTGAATCACTGACAGAAGTATAGTCGTATAGATGATCAGTATAAACGCAGACAGCTAGGACGATAGTTCTGATATTAATGCTGGATACTGGCTAGCAGAGAAATCCAGAATGTACGTTTCGTCCTGCTTGGGACTCGTCAGTTAGATCCACCTGCCTACTAGTGAGTGATTTTGTTCTCACAAACACTTGAAACCAGGATTGATTGCTTCAAACCTAATAGGATAATCCACTAGGTCATTCGGTCATGATAGCCGACGAGTTCAAAATTGAAAATGCGCTCAATATCGAGGCATCCATACAGGAGTCCGTACACTAATAGTAGCCTATCAGTTTGTTTCAACGGCGAAGACTTACAAGCTATAACATCAAGAAAATTAAGACGATAGTTCTCTTCGCACAACTATTACATCGATAATAATTGTTTAAAGGCAACTGATAACGAAACGCTTGCCTGACTCAGTAAACTGACATCACATCAATATTTCAGTTATATTTGAAATTTTGAAAGTGAAGTATACATGTCAAAATCATTTCGAACAAGTTGAGTTTTATGAAGGGAATAGTGTATGTGTGAAAAATGATGTCATTTAGAATGTGAAATGTTTCACTGATAAGAAAATTGCCTCAAGAAACCGTAATATGACATGTTATACTAGTAATAAAATGGTGTTTCTTCAAAAGAACGGGAAGTAAAATTACTATGACTGACAGGCTAAGTGAGGGATAAAAATGCTACTATGTTACACCTGTAAGGAATGTAGGAACATTTTGTAAAAGTGAGCTCATAAATTTCATTCCGCTCTTCTCGCGTACTCCTTTATTTGTTTGTAGAACAAATGAGAATTGATTCATGTAAGTCAGATGTATTGCAACAACGTTAATAGCACATTACCTCTTCCATACGTTGGGAAAAATAACGTGTATACACTAAGTTAGATGAAAAGAGATTGGTTTAGTGATTCCTCTACTGGATGATAACTGAAGGTGAAATAAAAATTTGAACTGTGGTGGGATTCGAACCACCGACAACTGGGTTTCCGGTCCGATGTTCTACCAAATGAACTACGAGGTCAAAATCTGGACCGCGACTGATTTCGTTTACTTCACGAGGTTTATTTAAACTCAAATATTCCGAATTACACTAGTTTCTGATTCACGTTATACCAGCTGCATTTATCGATTCAAGAAGCGATGGTTATCAGGTATGATTCTAAAACACGTGTTTAACTGTCTATGCTTCAGACGTTTGTTTTCATTTAGCGGTTGAATAGGATGTCATACAGTTGACACAGGGTATCAGGCAAACGTGCCAAAATCATTCACCGTAGTGAAAAGGCAAAAGCTTGACTATATACTAGTAGTTTTTAAAGCTATCGCCACTCGAAGAAATCATAACAAGAAATAATTCAAAATCGACATTATTTGTTATTATTACCTGAGTAATTAACGGTAATCCAAGTAATCCAAGCAGTACAATGGTGAATACAATTGAACAACGATAAATTTTCTTATAATGATCTTCATACTTTTCATTATTTGTCACTATGTGACCAACTATTGGTTCTACTGTAGCCAGTAAAATTAATGCCTTGAAAATAAATTATGGAAGCAGTTTTTACAATTACTCTAGTAATAATCACAAACAAATGAGAATAGTGAGTATTCAAGGTTAAATGGTTAATTGGGAGATAACTGCCACTTTTTTCTTCAGGCCGGTATTCACCATGAACTGAAATCAGTTGGAGGAACATTGGAAAACTGAAAGCACTGGATGGCTGTCCCGTCCTAGTATGGGACTCTTCAGGAGTGCACACCCATGACCCCGACACGTATTGAACCCAAAACCTTCAGATTCCTTGGTTAGCATGTTACCACTGGGCTACTGGATCGGAATCCAACGGTCCATATTTCTTTTCTCTTCTTTAGCCTTTATCGCTCCAATAAGAAAATCTATAAAGCTTCTCTTGAAAAAAACAGTGTCCTATCTACTGAAGTGTTAGATTCACTTGCGAATTAAACATAATTTCCAACTGTCACTGACCGTTTTACAGAGTTTCTGTTGAAACCAGGAAGATGTCGAAGTATGGAAACAGTATCAGGAAAAATCGAAGAAAGGAAAATCAACATATATGACAGTGAAACTCGTACGATTTAGACTAAGATGAGGACGAGGAGGCAATTATTTTTGTTTGGAACCTATAATTTTGCGTTGCTATACAGGACGGAATCGCTCAACCTATGTTGACAGATGGGCTACTATGCGAAACCCTCGATCCTGCCGGATATTCATGATGTTATATTTATCTTGATAACGCAATGGAATCCAAGACATGCGTTTCATCGTATTTGGAACTCGTCAGCTGGATGTATCTGTACCCTATTGAGTGGTGTTGTTGAGACTCGAACCCAATACGCATCGCTTAAAACACAAGAGCATGGTCCATAGGCCACTGAGGTACGATATCCATCTATTGTGTAACAAGTACCATTTGCTTTATTGAAGTCAACTTTCAGTGGTATTACTTGGAATCAAAAGTCTTTCGATTGTTTCATAAATTTCAGCAAAGAAGCTTCAACTCACCTATACAGTTTAAAATAATGGGAAGGACTTTAGAAAATTTTACCACATTCCGATCCGATCACCAATATATTTCAAAGTTTAAACCAACTGAAGGTACTTTTTGATATTTGTAATTCCCCATTGCTACACATAGCCGAATATCTCAATCTCTGTTATTAGATGGGTTCGTATGCAGATGCTTCGATACTCCCGAACATTCATCACACTATATTTGTCTTAGTGACTAGCGGTAACAAGCAGCAGCATCATTCACTGAGGTGGAGGTACGTCCAGCTGACGAGTCTCAACTGGAACGAGAAGTGCCTTTAGATTCCACTGTTAGTCAAGGTAGTAAAGTTCATCAGAACAAACAGTGCTACTTGTTAGTTAGCATTCATAATATGAAATAGAAAGTTATTCGTTATCATTTAAAGGATCAGAACAAAATTTTGAAAGTGAGATTAACTAATAAGGGTAGAGAAATAATTCACATCGTAGCATGTTCAAGCAGCATTCCAATATCATGTTAAATGTTTGTTCAGTCGAGGTGAAAATGATCTTTATTATAATAGTAAAGTTATAGATTACCTACAATTTCTTTTCACAAGTAAATTCGTTAACTTCTACTGGCATAACGGTTTATATGTACGAATTTTTAGATATGATTTTTGACTATGCTCCGATATTACTTGGCTATGCCGAATAGCGTAATCCACTATGTATTCGTTATAGAAGTAGTTGAATAAAACTACCTCCGTGTTCTTGTTTCTATTGACATTAGGAAAAGAAGATTACTACTGAAAATATAAAAGTATTTTCTGTTTGGCTGCAAAAATATCCCTGCAACAGATGTGTCGTCAAAATGAAATCAAACTTTTTTATTGTTTAGTTCCATGTTTAAATACGTCAGTTCATGTTTTCACATAGGCATCCTAATGGGCGTGCTGATATTGCATGTGACATGAAGAGGCTATAAGTTTTCAGTCACAGATATTTAGAGATTGCTTGAGTGGAATAAAAACAAGAATGACCAGTGTTCTGAGTGAAGGCACGATACTAGATAAAGGAAGTAGATCAATTGACATTACTGCGTACGTAAATTGACTGATGTGGTTTGGACGTTTATAACGCACGAGCAGCTACTAACTGTATGAATCTGAAATGATAGCTAGAACAGGATCACACTAGAAGAACGCCAAGAAAAACCATTTTGAGATACAACATAAATCCATGAAGTCTCTGATTGTTTTTCTGAGTCATACGTCGAAGTGTAGGTTATCTAATTGAAGTTACAAGGATATGAGGAATCAGTGGCAGGAAACACTTGTTAACATGGCTTAGAGACTAACTTTGGTGTAAGTATTTGTTCGTCGTTATCTTCTACGTCCTGAAAAGTTTATTGACCTCCATCAATCTATTCTGGCTCCTCTTCCATCCTTTACAAAATATATCTTTGTCTGTCTGACTGTTGTGAAAACGAAAATCTCTTGTATTCATGAAGTGATTACTAACATCTTTTTATGAGCGATTCACATTTATTTTCCAGTGAAATTGACTAATTTCTGGCATATTATTAAATTAGATGCTTATGACAGCCTATCACCATTTTTAACTAATTATGAATATCTTGATCGGCAACTGAGGGGTAATCAATCTCATACTCTCTAGTTTTAAAGAATGATCAAATTCTTTGGGTCATTTAACAGCGTAGTCAACAAGCAGGGAACTTCACTATCATCCTGAAGCTTGATTGTTGTTTGCTTAGAGGCAATTTATATGAAGCCGTGAAGCTAGTTTTCATTGCGTTGGGGTTCTTTAGTAGCGGTGATATTAGAAATACTGTCCCATTCGAGATTCGATCCCACATTGTCCTATGCTACAGTCAAAAATGGTACTAGTGAGTTGTTATGGCTGTGACCGACCTTCTGTTAGACTGGATAACATACACCGGCCAGCATCTTCATTTCTATTTCTTTCGACCAACTAGTAATAACTACTTACCTATGTTCAGAGAAATGTCAACACGAATCTACACTAACAGAAATTTTCCGACTAAAGTATATCATATGGTAAGTAACCTACACGACTGAGCAAATCAGTCATTCATAATTTCATGTTTGACTTGTAAAGTAACTAGATAAGAGGCTATGAATCGAGATAGTATTATAAGCGATCTATAGCGGTAAAAAACCTCAATCAAATGATAAGGAAACTTCAGTGGCCATACTGAGCCGTAGATAGTGGTTTTAATTCAGTCCCCGAATCTAACTTATTCAATGGTTAGTTAGTGTTGAACAGATCATTAGCTTGGAATACCAGGTAATCCTAGATATTCCCGGTCCGTAGCTCATTGAACCAGGCTTGTGATTAACTCTACTTTGGTTACTAACTTCGAACTGCTCATCACCTTTATAGGCTTAAGAAGCATCTGAAATTTGTCGCACATCCTTACACTTCTAGTGTGGTTTACAGTTTAGAATACAAATCTGCACAACTTTATAATATCTTAAAATCTATTTTACTTTCGATCCACTACACTTTTATGAGATTGTTTGTTACTCAGTATTTTTGTTCCATGAATATCTCATATCTGAAAACAGTGAAACTATATTAAGTAACTGGCAAAATTTACCTGATTCAATAAAAGGAATAAAGTAAGCCCAAGAAAATAAGATGCAACAAGAATTCGAGAACTTGAAAATTTTGAGAAAATATGTGACATTATTACAAATGGCGCCAGCCAATCAACGCTTAGATGACATCGAACATATTGTGGATCATAGGATGAAGCCGTGGCGAAGAGCATAATTAACACCGGTAGCTGTCCAAGTAAAGCGGATCCTATCGCCAAAGGAATCCAACCCCTGAAAATGAACGACAATTAAACTAAATGTGATACTACGAGATAAACTACCGTCAAGTTTATAAGTAGTTTATATTATCGTAACTAAGAAAAAAGGTGTAACAAGCGGGATCGTTGCTTTAGACGTAAATAATGAGCATTCAGATAGCGAAAAGGTATACTCTAATATAACGTCAGACCATTCGCATCAATGCATAGGAGGTTGAAATATTTCAGATAAACACTTTTATCTGTTAATTTAGTCTCAGTTTCGAATACATCACCGAATTTCCCACCCATTTATTATGTAACCATTTATCCTTCATCACACTGAGCATGCAACCAACTTCTGGTATCCTAGTTCAAATCGAGCTTATAACAGATCGTGATCGCTCAATATATTGTTAAATAAGTTGCCTGAAACTACTTTGATCAGAAGATAAATGTTTTTATGCACACCGGATCAGGAACTGAATTCCATAAAGTAGTGAAGAGAACTATACAGATAAGCTATAACTGGAAGTGAAAAGTTGTCAGTTCATTATACATGATTTAGCATGTAGTGAACCATATCGTTGGCTTACTCTGCATATTTCTTTGAATCTTGGATACGAGAATTAACCTAGCAAAACAGATACCCATACATGAAACCAAATAGCTATCAAGGTATACTAAGCATTTTGTTCTGGTTAAAAATGAGGCAGATGCTAGCAAGCTAATTACCAGTAAAGATTATTATTTTTAATTGACAACCAACTTATGGAATCTCTAAGAAAGACAGTCACTCAGTATACACTACCAGAGATGTTGTAGTCAGCTCTCTTTGTAGCCAAGCTTATTTACATACCATGAAAATGACTTCATATATTATAGGTCTGTTTAAAGCAGTGGAGCTGCTGAGAGGCAAACTTTGGTTTCCTACAGTTATTGAGGCGATCAATATCACCTACTTCTGCAAACATATTCAATAGATACTACAGTTTTTTTTTGAGATTACGTCTCTGTAGTATACCCAAGCAAACATTAAAATAAATTTTGGGGAGAGCTTTAAATAATCTAGCCTGAAAAACAGCCAAAAGCCGTTTTGTATCGCTTCTTATTTTTATTCACAATTGTGTTGCATACAGGTCATCTTGTCTTTAAGCTTTCTTTTACTAGGAACATAAGCTTGTTGAAAACAAATAACACAGATCACTGATGGTTTACAATGTGATAAACTAAAATTTCATTAGATAAGGGTCAAACATACTTTGAGAAACTAATATACAGAGTTACTACTAAGTTTGTATGATTTAATTTTCATTGGAAAAATATCTGCAAATTCAAAGACAATTCATTGAAGAAAATGTACATATATTCAAAATGATTTAGTTCAATAGAAAGTTTCCTTTGTTGACTTTCCATTCCACTAATAGTCTTAAAACAATAAGTTCGGGTCAAAATATTTAAATTTCTCAGTGAAAACAAAATAACAGATTTCCAAATAAATGTCTGTATTTTCTTACAACGCATGTTGTTAAGTAGTACATTTCTTAGTCTCATGACACCTTTGAGATTTTACTTCATGATCTTGATTAGGCAGTTTTCAAAAGAAAACCTGTTGCACAAGAGTTAAGCAGCTGAAAAAAATTACTTTGCTGTAGGGCATGAAAACGTGTACACGGAAAGTGACAGTGTCACTTGTTTAGATCACTCTGTTTTTGTTAAATGAATTCAACGATCAAAGTGAGCGGTTTCTAAATACTCATTTTCTTCAGGAGCATAGATAAGATTTAAGGCCTTCACTCAGATTATAAACATCATAAATGTTTATCTTGATTAAAAATCATAGCCGGGTGATAATCTTATCAATAATATCAGCTTAAGAAAATATATTGCATTCAGTTAGATCCTCTTCAAGTTAACCTCAAATATGGATACATACAATATGCATGAAAGTTATTCAAACAATAGTCAATTAAAGTAAAAGCAAGTAATAACATAAAAACTATACCACTTGCACAAGAAGTGGCTAGCACAACCCGATGGGCTAGTGGATAACTCTCTTTCGTCTGAACTGAACATTTATGAGTTCAATTCTTAGTGGGAACCACATTGCTAACTTGGAGGCAGGTAAATTGATCTGACGAGTCCCAAATGGGATGAGACACTAGTCCTGGATCCCACTGCTAGTCACTATTCATCATTAGTACACCCAAATATGTTTCATAGTGCCCATCTGGCAACGATAAACTTGATGATGATAGTTAAAAAAAGAATACGTCAATAGTTATAGTGACAGCGTCAATTGGAGCAGTCGCACTACTGATAGCAACCGTGATAAGAACAAAGAAATTAGCATGCTAATGTAGACATTCAGGAGATCAAAATGCAGCAAACGCATACAAAAAGAAAAGTTGCAGAATAGTAAAGGATGAAGTAAGTGGATACACAAAGACTGAACAGATGAGGCAAATAAATCAAAGAGGTGAATAATAAGAAAAGGATAGTAAAATTCGAAGGCTAAACAAGGAATATTTTCAGTAATCTCTTCCTCAGCCTCTACACCAATATATTCATACTGTCCCATTAAAGAAAAAATGTGTATCAATAACAGGGAAATTTTATCTAAGGGTCAATAGTTTATATTGAATATTCTAAGAATTTCAAGTTACTATTCATCACAGTCTGAAATCACTTAAAGAACCATTGAAGAACTGATAGCATCACCTTGAAATAAATAAATTCCCACATACTCCAAACTAAACTACACCTCCTGAATTCACCTCAGAAAAGACTTATATCAAAGGCAATGTCAGAACCAAATATAACTAGAATATACTTCAAAATAATGAATTATGTAGGCGATAATGTGTCTAGTGGTGTAGTAGTGGATGGTCAAAATTAATCTTCTGAGAGAGTTGTTATTCAACGTAAATGATAGTGGATACCAATGAATCTTGAAGTGTTGATTAAATGTTGAAAAGAACTTTATTCATTTCGATAATGGAATTCATACGAATAAAGCTTAGTATGCTGAGAGAGGAAATGAAATTAATGAGGGTGTTTGTTTATGAAGGCATAAAGGGATTACCAACTATCGTCTACTAAAAGGAACAGGTCAAGTTGAACTGAGGTACGGAGACAAGAAATGAAGGAGTTTGATCAACTTAAAATCCCAAGGAAGAGCTGAATGATTATAAATTGAACAGTTAGGAAGTTTACAATTCGTACAATTGCTGCAACAGAGTGTTTATAAATTTGCCGATCTCAAAGCTGTCCAACGTAGTGGTAGTAGTAATGGCTGCACATGCTTCCTTGGTATACAAAGTTCAAGTTGCTGAAGAAGGATGGCCACAGCTTCTGCTGTTTAAAGTACTGGGTATCAAGTAACTTTCGATAAATTAATAAAGAAATGGTAACTGATAGAAAAGGATTCACAGAATGCGTTTCTTTTGATCATTTTCGCCAAGCAAATTTTATTCTTCTTGCATTAAAGAAAATAATTCATTCATATTAGCTCTACGATCTATTTGAACTAAGTGGGTTGATATTGTCCTATGTTTAAAAGGGTAAAAAACTGAATGCCTAGAACATTGGTCAACATAACTGCCTCCTTAGAAGTAGTTAGAAGTTGCTAACCAACGAATTTGGTCACCTACAAATTTTCCAAATTAAAGGTTTGAAAGATATTCGTAGCTTCTGAATTAGTATCTTGAATTAAGTTTCCAAGCTCAAATTTATTTTCATGTGAAGCAGTTTCTTATCCACGATGGAAATACATATATTTTGCACTTTGTAGTCATGTGCTTTTTTATGGACTTACTTAGATAGTCATTTCACTTAGGGTGCTGGGTAAGATCTTCAACTTCTCATCAGTGGTATGCTCTGAACATATGGTACTTACTGCATTACAGGGAGCCGTTATTAGATTTCGTTTATATCAAAGGTGAATACAGCTAAGGAAGTGTGTTTATCTTCCCATTCGTGTATTCTTCTTCCTCTTCAGTAATCAATCTATTCTTCTTGGAAAAAGAACATCTGTAAATGCTACTTTATCCTGGAGTTCCTCTACATAGGCGATATTTATGGTTAGGTATCCTTTTATGAATTTGATCAGTATCTTAGACTTATTCCAGCCGCTTTCTCAAAACAACGATATATAATCCACATTTCCACAGCAAGATGCCAACTTCCTGGTAAAATTATTCCGAGAACATTTTGTAGCGAAACGTCTATCCTTATGCATTTGTACAAACTGACCTGTTATTTTTACTAGACGATATTTGGTAATCTCTTTATGTATTCATAAGCAAACACTCTCATTAATTTCATTTCCTCTCTCAGCATACTAAGCTTTATTCGTATGAATTCCATTATCGAAATGAATAAAGTTCTTTTCAACATTTAATCAACACTTCAAGATACATTTGTATTCACTATCATTTACGTTGAATAACAACTCTCTCAGAAGATTAATTTTGACCATCCACTACTACACCACTAGACACATTATCGCCTACATAATTCATTATTTTGAAGTATATTCTAGTTATATTTGGTTCTGACATTGCCTTTGATATAAGTCTTTTCTGAGGTGAATTCAGGAGGTGTAGTTTAGTTTGGAGTATGTGGGAATTTATTTATTTCAAGGTGATGCTATCAGTTCTTCAATGGTTCTTTAAGTGATTTCAGACTGTGATGAATAGTAACTTGAAATTCTTAGAATATTCAATATAAACTATTGACCCTTAGATAAAATTTCCCTGTTATTGATACACATTTTTTCTTTAATGGGACAGTATGAATATATTGGTGTAGAGGCTGAGGAAGAGATTACTGAAAATATTCTTTGTTCATGAAGCAGGCTTTTGAATTATCAGGTTATTTAATAAGGTTACCTGGTCAAGGGAGAGATAAGGAATGAACAGACTTTTATTGGATCGAAACTTCATGAATATTCCTTTGAATTCTCTTAGCTTTCACTTCATGAAAGACGAGTTCGAGTACCATCCTAGGTAAGCTTCGAAACATATCTCTTATCAACCGACCATACCCTACCAACTAAATGAGATAAGACGGAGCTTCTTATTGACTGTATCTGTTTCTTTTCAAATTCTAAAGATGAACACTCAGTAAAACATGTCAAGTTTACCGGTAGTACCCCCAGTACAGCATTCTCCACAGCAACTAAACTTGTAAATATACTTAGAGGCAGCTGAGTATTTAATCTTTCGTTTACACTACAATAATTGGTCGACTGCAGGGTGATTAACAGAGTTCAGTAGTTTAAAATATCCTCTTACTAGATCAAAATGGCCTCTGATATACAAGTTTACAGGTTACGTCTTTATTGTATTTTAGTTTTATAACCATTAATTTAAATTAAACAATAATTAGTTCACATTGAATTCAATTTACTTTTTCTATGTTTATTTTTATAAAACTGTTAGCATAATCCATTTCAGTCAGTGAGTTATAAATATATTTTTGATTATTTTTGATGTACTTGTAGTTCTCCGTTGTTATACTGGATCGAATTGTTGAACTTCTGTTGTCTTATAGGCTCCTATGTGGAAATCTTTATATTTCCTGAATATTTATTATTATGCGCGAGAGGCCTAGTGGATAACGCTTTGGTGTTGAGGTGACGGGTACGAAGTTCGGGTCCCTTTTGGGAACAACATCACCTAACCGGGTGTACGTACATCCAGCTGAACGAGACGCACGTCCTGGATTCCTCTGTTAAGGACAAGTAGGTAAGTTGGCATAATAATTATTCTAACTCCTTATGCGCTCAATCATTGGAAGGTGCACTTCATTGAATTTCCTTGACAGTTCGCTTCTGTTTACGTCTTTATCCATAATAATGAATGTTTCATGAATATTATGGTATTAGATATTCATCCCACTAGTAACATGCTTCAATGGTCTGTTTTCTACTTTGATGAGAAAAAAATAGCACATTCATAGTACATCTGAGTACTAACCCTTGGAGTCCCGGTATTAATTTACCTCTTCGTCATTTGCTGACACACAAACTCAGCTGCCTTCAATGGTAAATAATGATGCGACATCAAGCGATATCTTATGTTTTCCGTATACTTCAAATCATCTGGCTTATAAATGAAATCGGCAACGTTTCTCTCATTGTTGCTTAGTAACTCTTTGTGTACGGAGTCTAAAATCGGTACTAACTATTTGGAATCTAAGTGGTATGAAAAGTTAGACACGTTTAGGCATGGACGAAGAAAGAGTCCAGGTTTGTATAATTTAAGTAAGTCGTACAATCCTGGTGTTTTACTTCCTGGAGTCTTAAGTAAATTCTAGCTAGCCTCAGAAATTATCCTCCTTGTCCTACTTCTTTGAGCCTATTTTCTATCCGATTTTATGTCTTCCTATTTAAGTTTAACGAGACAATAAGTTTTGAAACTTTTCTTGATTATTAGGAAAAATATTCATTTTGCCGATGTAGTCACTTTTATCAAACAACACTAAGGCTCCTTTATCTGGTTAAATTATTATGAAATATGCAAATTACCTCAGCTTAAACAAAGCTACTTCATTTCGTTTCATCAGTAAACCTTTTGTAGAATAAATGCTGCTTTTGCGCTGTTGGTAACAATGAATAAGTGTAGTTTTAAACATGCATAGTTCATCATTAGAAGAAGGAAGCATTTTCTTTGTTTTTAAAACTTGATTTTCAAACTGTGCACTTGTGTCTGTTTGGATAATAGGATTTTTATATCCATAAAATCTAGGATCCACAGATAATACTGGAATCTACTGTAATACTAAAAAAACTGTGAACATACCAATTTGTATCTGACAGAAAATTCCTTTCCGGCTTTAGACTTCCTAAGAAAGTGATAAAATTTAGTCGTCTCGTTTTCTCCTTGTACTGCTTAACTTCGTGAAATGATTGAGAAACATAGATCATCAACGGTGAATTTCCTTCCAGCCCAGGGACGTGTATTTTGGAACAGTTTAGTTGATTAGAAATGTGTCGTTTCAGTACTCTAGAACTATGGGAAAATCCTGTTATGACGTAACGATTTCCAATATAATTTCGGATATCATTCATTTTGTATACATTCAATAATGAATTTCAATAACATTTTCGTCTCATTGGGTTCAGTATTATACTTCAGAAACTCATTGTGTCACTAGTGCAATAAGATTCACCTGTGGTTTAGAAAAATTTTAAATTCCCATCAAAGGGTGCATGGTTTTGGAATCCCATACTGCGACGAAGTAGTTGTCCTGTGCTGTCAGGTTTACAATGGTTCTACAACTCATTACAGTTCGTGATGAACACCACCCTGAAATCAATCAATCCACATAAATCTGCAGACTTAAAATCAATATTGTTCGTTTAAATGCCTTTTTCTTGTTTAAACCAAAGAAACTTCTGAAACTCCTAAAATAACCTATTCATAAATAAGATCATTTGTGAGGATTCAGTAAAATGGTACATCATAAACCTTTCCTGATCCAAAACTCAGTGATTCTCAAGTTTAATTTGTTGTCTTACAATACCAGTCAAAATACATTCTATCATAGTGGTTTTAAAATGTTTTGTTCACCAGAAGTCTTTGATTCGAAAATGTTTTAAAGTGGTTTAATGATATCAAAGAATTTAACTGGTATAAAACATCTATTCAATGGATTCAGATGATGAAGGATTATTCAAAAGAAATCAAAACCCTTTTCGCATTACAAAGTAGGTCAAGTGAAAATTTAGGCAATGAAAAGTGTTCAACACATCAACAGATTAACATTTCATGAAATTATACAAATACCTGACAACAAATTAACTCACAGGTGTCTCATTTTACGTCCACCAGCAATTAATTTACCAACAATAGGATATACTCCATTCCACAAGTTATACGACTGAGATAAATGAACAAATGTGGATAGAAACCCCTGAAATTATTTTAAAACATGGTTAAAGTTTTGGTTATGGGAAAACATTTACATTTACTAAAATATTTAAATAGTATGTAGTTGTAACAGGTGAGTAATGAAGACATGATAACGTATTTGTATGCAAATTTCTTTCAATTCTATTTCATCTTTTCTCAAAACTCACTGAACATTGTAGTATATCCGTCAGGTGCAAAATAATTTGTTAAACAAGAATTCTATTGGAAATAAATTCCAATGTTATTCAAAAAAAATCTGAATGACGTAACTTTATAAATGACGGGAAATGCTTACAGTTTAGTTATGAACTAAAGAGATGTAATATAAAAAGAAATCCGCTAAATATGATGGCGAATAGAGACGTTTAAGTGTAGGAAATTTGAATATTGTTACAACCTGTGTGAAAGTTTCACTTTTAACACTGTTACCTAATAGATCATAATAGGGAACTTACAAATTATCTATTATAATGAAAAGATTTCCTTAAAGTACGTAAGCCTGCTCTTAGTGATACAGAATTTATAGCTAAGATAATTTCCGATACCATTTACAACGTACCGAATATGTATTCTTGATATCTCTGTTATAGCTTTGAAAATAACAATTTTTCGCTCAATGTTAAAAAAAAATGTGCAATAAAGCCAACTTTTTATTTCAATTTTTGTCAAATTTCTTTGGTTTTCATCCTCTGCTTCTTAAAAATTAATTCTTATTATGAGATCCATTAATTGACTACCAAGACGTTTATCGCACAATACAGATATTCTAAGAATATATATAGTCATTTAGGAAACTTAAGAGCAAAATTATTTTGATGAACGAATTCTAAACTATCAATGACAACTTCATGCTTCAAGACTGATGTAAACTTACTCATTGTACTACAGGTTGAATGCAAAGTTGGAGTGTATCAATAACCTTAATCGCATGGACATCCAAACAAATCATGGTGATAAAGTAACTTATAACATTTAGACAAAGATTTTGATAATGAAATTGACGTTAGCTGACTGAGGCTATCGATCAAGGATCCACTCCTCAACCAAAACTACTCAAAAGAATTGATTTAACTACATGTCTGATACTAAACAATCTTAAGCTTGATTTTATTTACAACATACAGTTACATTCGTTAACTTTGTCATCATTGATGCAACCATAGTATGATACTGAGACTTTTTATATCTTATTGTTTAACACTTGATACCCAACATTTATCACTTAATAATTTCCTGAAATTTTTTGTGACTGCTCTTTCTTGAGATAAATTTCTCTTATCACATGAAGTTATGTAAAATAACTCACTATTAGGAAATAAAAATCCAAATTGCTTGGTGGTGGCTAGGAGGTCTTAGGTCTCGTTCTATTTGAAACTTCTCAGCTGGATGTACCTCCATCCCAGTGAGTGATGGTGTTTCAGATAGGACGAAATCCACGTCCTAGATTTCACTGCTAACCACCATCAAGCAAAATACAACATAGTGAATTATCAAGTAATATTGACCAACAGTGGTCAATCATTTCGATCCAGAGTAACAACGGGAAATTACAAGTATCAATAAGTGATAACAAATACGACCGTATAGTGTGAAAAAGTACTTCTTTTTCTTTTGTCTCTGTTCACTGATTAAAAATAAAAATTTTGAGCCTCAACCCCCTAAGCTAAAGGCATATTATAAAGTTACTTTATTTCATTCAACTTACATTGACGATATCTCGTTCGTTCTCAGGTATTTTTCAAGCACCAACTATGTCTGCTGTTTTCATATAATAAGTGGATGTGTGGTTCACTGGTTTAGGGAGACGATAACCAACCTTTGGGTCACGGGTCCGAACCCCACTCCACCTAACGAGGTTTGGTCAGCTAGGTAGTATCGCAAGCCCTCACACAATACGTATGGTCCATTGTTTACTGCACGGGTGTGTACAAGGTGGCTGAGTGTGTTCATTATCATTATTTTTGAAATGAATGGGGATTTTTAATTGAGAAGTAGTATTCATCATGGACTGACATCAGTTGGGGAACCATTGAAAATCTGGGAGCACTGGACAACTGTTTCATCCTAGTATGGGACTCTCAGCAGTGCACACCTATGACCCGGCTGGGGATCGAACTCAAGACCTTCAGGTTTCACGGCAAACGCGTTCACAATTTGCAACTTCTGTCAATTCACGACATAGCGCGACTGTCATCCAAGGTCTTCAGTTAGCATCCACTTCACTTCCGACTGGTTGACCCCACAGGTAACGGCTTCTAACTAGAGCTTCCCGACCCGTAGCCGGGTCGTGGGTGCGCACTGGTGAGGAGTCCCATACTAGGACGAAATAGCTGTTCAGTGCTCCCAGATTTCCAATGGTTCCCCAGCTGATGTCAGTCCATGATGAATACCACTTCTACATTATCATTATTATTATTAAGGTAGATATAATCAATTTTTTGCATGTGTACACCATTTATTAAGTGGATGGCATGACAAGAAATGCATTTGGTTTGCCAGGCTGCCAGATTACATGTTGTTCATCTTATTTTCATTGCTCGCATATTTTTTGTCTGTACCATAGTAACATTATGAAGCGAATTTATTGACATGAATATGTACGACAATAACGTATTTCAGCCTGTTGCAGCAAGAGGAACAGGTACACAATATTACATTTTAGAAATAAAAGGTTTTGTCGTAATTTTGCAATTTTCTCATGCATAGCTTCGCACCTCACCTACATTTAAACAACCAAGAAGTTTACCCCCACTCACTTAGTAAATAATTTATGCGCGTACACAAATACATACCACGTTTGTGTTTCATAACATAGGTTGATTGTCACTCGTGTGTTGGCGGATATTTGCTTAGGTCCGCATTACAACAAAAATGTATGCATACACACAGTAAATCTGATTTATAGGCTGACTGTTTCTATGTGACTTCAGTTGGATCAACAAATTATACTTCGACGTATTTGGCAATTAAAAAACAGGTCAATTTTCAGCTCACTTAGCTTAGTTACTATTATTGTGAAATTTCTGCTTCGTATACAGACAGATTTGTTTGTTTCACTCATATGCTGTCGATTCAGCAAAAACAAATAAATAATTTTTCTTGCAGAATTTAAATAATTTCAAAAGTCAACCTTCTGAACTTTTAGACATAGAGTTCGACAGCAGAAACCTATATGAAACACTCAGAACGTTTAGTAAATACAAGTCATATACTAATATAAATCTATGTATACACCCATGAATTACGTGACTTATGTGACCGAATAATACAGGATTGTGAGATTTCCGCTAACTGATGAGTCAAGAGTTAGGAACTGTATACACCCGCAACATTGTGACACACAACAATGGATCCTGACCACTGAAAGTACTGTCGCCACACTAGTGAAAAACACAGAAGACAAGACTTAGAAGGCGAAATTTGTTCCTCCGGGAAAGTGCGAAAACTAGCCGAAAACATAACTGTTTGTACAGTTAGTTCAGTGTGCCTATAAGTTTAACACGGAAACAATGAAACATGTAACCAAGTTTAATAACAATAATAAACTAACAATGAGGCAATCCTTGACAAAGGTTAATTCTGTATCACTAACATGAGCATGACCTTACTTTCGATAAAGATTGAACACAAACTTTAGACCACATTTTGCATGAGGAACACTAACCAATCAGCTGTTTATCGGTTTGCATTAATACCTCCCTCTTATTAGTATTGTAATTTCCAGCATCCCTTCAACCAGGGGATCACTTGAAGATAATGTGTAGGTCATCGCATTATTTGTGATCGTCTGGGGGACTCTTCTGATGGTACATCCAATAGTTATTCACTTAGTTTCTTCATTTTTCCACGTAACATTTCAACGATAAAGTTTTTTGAAGCTGGGTGTTGGCGCCCAACGACATATACGTCTTAACCACGGCATTCCACTAACTTCCACCTCATAAGTTATAGGTCCCGTTTTCTGACATCACCTATCCATTTCGGTTCGGTGACTCGGAAATCACGAGCCCATGCTGACTCCCCTTCAACTACAGGCTGCACAGATGAGGACATCAAAGCCAAGATCGGAAGGACAGAGAGACAGGACTTCATTAACCTGAAATCAGTGTGGGTATCTTCATCACCCCTATCTTCTGCACAATCATCTTAAGTTCTGTCTTCGCTGCCTCACCTCTTTGACCAACTTGTTGGTTTTCACCTGTAGATCTTCGAGTTTGTGCGGCATCAGACATAAATCATCATTGTTGGCGAAATCCAAGTCTTCCTGGGTCTTTTCATCGGTCCAGCCAGCGTATGTCCATCTTCTCGCTCCTCACAGTTTGTTGTATTATCCAGTTCAGCCGACCACAATCAGGAAGATCATCGTGGTAGTAGAATGGCAACCTTGTCTTAAACCTGTCTTCACTTCAAAGACATTGCTGAGCATTCCATTGTGAATCACTTGCATGTGGCATCATACAGTATATAGGTTTTGAATGAGATTGATAAATGTTTGTGGCAGTGAAATCTTAGTGTTGAAGCAGCTGCCAAATTACTACTCGGTCGACGCTGACGAAGGCATTTTCAAAATCGCTGAATTTCAGGTAAGGATCCACTTGATTGCCATTCTATGATGATGCGTAGCGTAGCATTGCATTTTGATCCGAACATGATTTGTACTTCCTGAAGCCAGCCTGTTCCGGTCGTAATTTTGATCCATTGCATCTTTTAGTCTCTTTAGGATGGTACGGCTTAATATTTTGCTTAGGGTGGACAGGAGCATGATTCCGCGCCAGTCCTTCCAAAGACATAGATAGCATTTATTTTGGAAGTTTGATAAGGTAGCCCTTCTTCCATTTAGTGGGCGGGTACCTTTCCTTCCTTCCAAACCTTCTGCAACAGAAGTGGTGTGAGCATATCCGCTGTTGTCTCTTCGTCTGTTTTCAGTACTTCTGGAGGAATTCCATCTGGTCCTGCTACTTTCTCGGCTTTCAGCGGTTTTATGGCGTCCAGAACTTCATTTCTGCTTTTGTCGGAGGGCACGTGTTCACTGGTAATTCTGTGGCTAGGCTGCTGGTGGTATTTCTGGACGAGTTGCAGGTGGTGGTCGATTCAAGAGTTTTTTGAAGTGGTCAACCCATCGTTTCTTCTGTTTCTCCTTTTGGTGACTAGCTTTCTCTCACTATCTTTCATTGGTTTCATCTGCGTTGGTCTCTTCCTAGATAGTAATCTGGTTATTTGATATAGTGTTGTCAGGTCTCTCCCTCCTACCAGCAGCCTGTTGTGCTTCACTTGCAAGTGTGTCGTAGAAGCTTCCTTTGTCTTTGTGCACACTCTTCTTCACTTCTTTGTCCAGTGTAGTATTTTATAGGTTGTATTCAGTTACTCTTTTCGTTGTTCATCTTTGCACTGCACTGGTTCACCTTCTGCTTCACCATCTTCCTCTCCTCCTCTATCAGCTTCCATGTGTCCGTCGAGATCCATTCCTTGTCTCGTCTTGTTTCCTCGTCCTTCCTAATACGGTTATGCAGGTTTCTTTCCACATATCTTTCAGAGAGTTCCAGTGTTCTTCCACACAGGTTTCTTCAGGGATGTTCCTTAATGTCCCACATATTGTCCTAATGGCTGACTGACGTGAAGATGTCCTCTCTAGTTTCGTCCTTCAGTTTCTGTTCTAGGTGTTGAACTTGATTTGTGGTCTATTACCAAATTCCTTGAAGGCTTTCAACTTTATTTTGAAGTTAGGTTCTTGAACTAGATAATGGTCTAAACTTGCATCTGCTCCTCTTCGTGATCTGAACTTGTGTCCAGTAGGCTGCGTCTCCACTTTCTTTACATTGAGATGAAGTCTATCTGATTTTTAGTGTGTTCATCTGATGAAATCAAATCCATGTCGCTGCCTTGTGAATATCTTTGTGTTTGTACACACTGCACCCAATAACCAAATCGTTGAATGCGCAGAAATCTGCAAACAGTTCTTCATTCTCGTTCATTTCACCGAGTGCTTCTCCACCCATGATGAATTCTCTTCCTGTGTTTTCTGCTCCCAGCTTGGCATTCATGTCAGCCCACCCATCAGAAATTTGATGTCGCCAACTGGAATCTTGTCTAATACTGATTGCAGTTGTCTTTATAATTCCTCCTTCTTCTCTTGACCTGCATTACTTGTAGGTGTGCAGCGTAGCATTGTACGATTGTGACTTTCCTTCCTTTTGAGTTGAATCTCATTGTCATGATGCTGGAGAAGATTGGTTCCCACTGCATAAGAGCCTTCGATGCTCTCAGAGACATCATGATATCCACTCCAAAACTCACTGTGCTCGTGGGTGTCATCTGGGTGACAATATCGGAGTAGATTATTGACTCTCCATTTGACAGTTTGAAAAGTCCACTTCTATTCTGTCTGCTTTCGCAGATTCCTGGCCTAGCACTTCTGACCTTTTTTGCAATCTGGGCAGCCTTTCTAGGATGAAACATTGTCCCCATTCTTACTTTTGCTTTCATCGAGAGAAGAGACATCGGCGATTTGGCTTCCCGAAGGCTTTCACCAACTGGTGTCATTTCGCCTCCCTTATTCCAGCGAGGAATTAGTTCAATTTAATTTTTATGTTTTGTCTGTGCTTTGAAGTTTGTTTAGCGGTTAGACTGGTTTCACGGGGTAGGGTTGGTAGCCCTTCCCTCTTTATCTGTGCTTAGGACAGGCTAATAATTAGTGAACTAGTTACCTAGGCGAGGTTATAAATGATACTCTTCAAACTGTCCACCAATTTCGAATATTAAGTGGAGTAAATTTTTTTCAAAAGTTTATGGTTCGAATCTTGAACATAAGTCAAACAAAACCTACCCAAACCAATGGTTGGACTTGAAACGTATCCACTCCATCAGGATTATTAGGTATCATAGCAAAAAACATTCCATAGAATTTAGTATAATAATCATTCAGTTGATTAGTTGAATTAGCATACATGATACGTAATGTAATAAGCACTCCAGTTAGCAGGCATACAGCCAGCGGTGATAATACATAGAGTAACTAAAAAAAGGAGTAAAAAAAGTGCATGACACTTAATGTTGCGGACATGAAACTCATTAGAATAATGATAAGATGTGAAATAAGAACTGGATTTAAAATGATGAAATATTGATGACCTTATGCACAAGCGTCAAAATAGACATGGAAAACCCAACTATTCGGTTCATTGAAGTTTATACAAGCAGTCAATCTAGGAGGCAATCGATATATGCAAATGAGGAAGCTGGTCATCAAATTTACAGATCTGAATGTTAATTAATAAACTATAATTCAACAAAGAATTTTATTCCTTTCGACAAATCATTTTCAAAAGCTGTACAATCGTAATCATAGTTACAACAAAAAAAAATATATCCAACAATAGCAAATGGCTAGCAACCCTACCCCGAAAACAAATCTAACCGCTAAAGAAACTTCAAAGCACAAACAAAATATAAAAAATGAAAACAAACTTATTCCCCGCTGGAATCGGAGAGGCGAAATGACGCAGTTGGTGAAAGCCTTCGGAAGCCAATTGGCCGATGTGTCTTCTCTCGATGAAAGCGAAAGTAAACGTGGGGACATGGAATGTCCGCACGATGTTTGAACCCAGTAAGGCAGCCCAGATTGCAAGGAGATGAGAAGGTATAACATCGAAGTGCTTGGGATTTGCGAAAGCAGATGGAATGGGAGTGGACTCTCCAAACTGTCAACTGGAGAATCAATAATCTACTCCGGTCACCCAGACGCCAACCACGAGCACACTGAGGGAGTGGCTATCATGATGTCCTCAAGAGCATCGAAGGCTCTCATGCAGTGGGAACCAATCTCCTCCAGGATCATGACAGCAAGATTCAACTCAAAAGGAAGAAAGGTCACAAGTCTTTGAAAGCTATGTGGAAAGAAACCTGCACAACAGTATTAGGAAGGAAGAAGAAAGAAGACAAGGAATGGATCTCGACGATACCTGGAAGCTGATAGAGGAGAGGAGGATGGTGAAGCAGAAGATAAACCAGTGCAAGGATGCTCAAGACAAGAGAACTGAGCACAATGTATAAAACACTGGACAAAGAAGTGAAGAAGAGTGCACGCAAAGACAAAAGACACTTCTACGAAACACTGGCAAGTGAAGCAAACAGGCTGCAGGTAAGAGACCTGACGACATTGTATCAATAACCAGGTTGCTATCAGGGAAGAGACCAACACAGATGAAACCAATAAAGATGAAGAAGGAAATTTAATTACAAAAGAAGAGAAACAGAGGAAACGATGGGCCGACCACTTCAAGAAGCTCTTGAATCGACCACACCTGCACTTCGTCCAGAAATACCACTGCAGCCGCTGAATACAAGTGAACATAATCCCCCAACGAAAATGGAAGTCCTGAACGCCATAAAGTACTGAAATGGGGAAAGCAGCAGGACCAGATGGAATACCGCCAGAAGCACTGAAACAGATGCAGAGACAACAGCGGCATGCTCACACCACTATTGGAAGGTGTGGAAGGAAGAGAAGGTCCTGACGATTGGAAGAAGGGTTACCTTGTCAAACTGCCGAAGAAGGGAGACCTCAGTGCTTGCAAGAACTGGCGCGGAATCACTCTCCTGTCCACCCCAAGTAAAATATTAAGCCGCATCATCCTGGAGAGGCTAAAGAGCACTGGATTCAAAACTACGACCGGAACAGGCAGGCTTCAGGAAGTACAAATCATGTGCAGACCAAATTGCAACGCTTCGTATCATCATAGAAAGAGCATAGAATGGCAATCACCTCTCCACCTCAACTTCATCGACTTTGAGAAGGCCTTTGACAGCGTCGACCGAGAAGTAATTTGGAAACTGCTTCAATACTACGGAGTACCGCAAACCTTTATCCGCCTCATTCAACAACTATATGAAGATGCACATGCCAAGTAATCCACAATGGGAAGCTCAGTGATGCCTTTGAAGTGAAGACAGGAGTGAAACAAGGTTGCCTACTATCCCCCATGATATTCCTTATTGTGGTGGACTGGATCATGCAGCAAACAGTAGGCAGCGAGAAGAGGGGGATACACTGGACGACGGAAAAGAACCTAGAAGATTGGATTTCCCGATGACTTATGCCTAATGTCACATAAACTTGAAGATCTGCAGGCAAAAACTAACAAGTTGATAGAAGAGGCAGCGAAGACGGGACTTCAGGTGAATATAGAGAAGACAGAAGTGATGAAGATACCGCACCACCACCATCAACAACAACTCCAATCACGTCAACGGAGAAACTTAAGGAAGTAACCTCCTTCACTTATCTAGGAAGCACTGTTTCAACTACAGGCGGGACGGACGGGACGTCAAAGTCAGAATCGGAAAAGCAAGACAGGCTTCATTAGCCTGAAACCAGTGTGGAGATCTTCTGCACTCAGCATGCGGAACAAGATACGGATTTTCAACACCAACGTCAAGTCAGTGCTCTTGTATGGCTCAGAGACTTGGCGCGCACGAAAGGTATTTCCAATAAACTACAGACATTCATCAACAACTGCTTACGCTCGCTGCTGAAGATCAGATGGCCAGAAAAAATAAGCAACAAGGAACTCTGGGAACGAACCAACCAAGAACCTATCACGCAACAAATATGCAGGAAGAAGTGGAATGGATTGCCATGCACTGAGAAGGCCGACGAGGACATCACGCGTCAGGCCCTCGAGTGGAATCCCCATGGGAAGCGACGAGTTGGACGTCCGAGGGTGACATGGAGGAGGTCGTGCGAGAGGAAATGAGAGCTTCTGGGCTGTCGTGGACCAGGTTCAAAAGATCTCAGAGAACAGAGGTCACTGGAGGCGTGCTACTGAAGCCCTATGTTCCACTAGGAACCCAAGGGACTAATAATAAATAATAATAATAATAGCAAATGGGTCAATACAAGGTCATCAAAACGGTCAATAAAGTCACAGGGTGATAGGGGCTAGAAGGTCAACTCAAGGTCATCAAAAACTAGAAATAGTAAAAAGCAAGGATATGAATAAAATATCTTAGGGAGATTACAACGAAGGTAATATTAGAGAGTGAATGTAACTTTTTTGAACGTAAAGAGCAGGCTTGTAATGCTGGATTAGCAGAGCTTCTGTTATGTTGAGGTGTCGGACACGCACTTGCTTCGAAATGTTTACCATCACTTAATAAATAACAATGAAAGAGGACTCTCGTTGAGCTTAGTGAGCAGATATAATCAAATGCTCAAGAATCAAGCTGTTGACGGCTTTACGCTGTCCTTTAGATAGTCATACAGGATAGTGTTGTTTTTGTAGCTATGATTACGATTTACGGCTTTTGAAAATAACTCATTGAAAAGAGAATTTTCTTTTCTTTTCATTATCTAGTGAAATCTGAATGTTATTCACATTAGATCGTGACAACTATATGAACTGTTTTGCATTCATTGAATTCAAAAGCAAAATTTATTCATCTGCATAAGTTGTCAACTTAGAAACATTACCTTTTAATTGTAAAAGAAGAATTGAAGCAAACATTAAATATATTTGGAAGTAAAAAGTTATTACGTAGGTTCAAGGATAGAACTTCTAATGCAGTTCCTTTCACGCTCATAATACCAGGCTGGAATACGTTTTCTTATGCATGTTGACAGTAATCACTAGCTACATCTAATCTGCCTTGCTCCACCGGAGCAGGTGAACTGATAGGTATATGTAGAGGTGGCCTGTCGAAGGATATTGTCTTTTAAGCATACGGAGAACAATATACGACTAGTGAAAAAAAATCGTACTAAGTGATCTGAGAAGACAATTTTTCAAGATGTTTGTTGCTACACCAACTTTAAATTCCAGAGTTACTGATCACTTTTCATGACATCCGATCCTAAACGAGCTACAACTAAAATATCAAAACCAAACAATTAGCATGCAATCTTCTTGATATCCATAAATATAAAAAAGAAAGTGATAATTAGATGCTTTGGTTTTGCGGAAAGATTTCATATAGGATTCGTTTGTTTAGAGAAGCAAAGCAGTTTGGTCAAGCGATGTCGACATCTACCCTTCATGTTTTTCAAAAGGCATCAGATCCCAAATGATGTTTATGGATAGTTACTGATAATTGTAAAACATTTATTTGAGGCATCTTAAACACTTTTTCATAATATTTACTTTCGTTAGGATCATTCTGATCTCAAGATTGAAATTCTTAGGTTATTAATCGAAATATCCAGGGGATAAGTTGTTATCAAGTAGTGTCTGAAAACTAAGTTAACAGTGAAGACTTCGATTATGAAGTATACGTATGCAACTGTAGCGATCGAGTCAAAGTGAAGTCTCGAATGAAATGAAACTGCAGAAATATAGTAGCCAATATATCTGCACCTTGCCTGAAGAAAATCCATTTCGAAAGGCTGTTGTCTTAGTTCTCTTTATTTTTCGATGTAACATGCTAGAAACAAAATGACGGTCGTTGTTTGATGCTTGTAATTTCCCGTTGGTATATAGGGTCAAATTCCTCTACGTTTGCTGGCAGATGGACTCCTATGCGGATGCCTCGATCCTACTACCTTGGTGATTCGCATATGACTCCACGACGTGAGATTTTTCCTGTTCTGGGCTCGTTAAATGGATGTACCTACATCCCAATGGGTGATATTGTTCCACCGAAACTCGAACTCGGTAACCATCACTTCAAATGCTAGTGTCGCCAAGATAAACACAACATCATGAATATCTGGCTGTTAAGAGGCATCCGTAAACGAGGTTGAGCAAGTCGACCGTTTATAGCAACGGGAAATTACAAGAATCAAACAACAACAAATGGTGCCCGTTGCACATATGGTTGCTTTCGTGCCTCAGTTGCCTAGTGGGTAACGCTTTGACGTTTGAAGTGATGAGTACTGGGTTCGAGTCCTAGCGGGTAGAATATCACCCATCGAGGTGTAGGTACGTCTAGCTGATGAATCCCGAATGGGAAGAAACGAGCATCCTGGATCCCACTGTTAATCAATAAGTTGAATACAAAATGATCACCGGTTGTTCATCGTCTATAACTCTGAAATTGTGTGCCAAACTGGAAGAATGACTTAGTAACTAATACTGAGAATGACTGCGAAGTCCTAAATAAAGGTTATAGACCATCACTGGGAGTGTCCACTCCTCTTACAGGTAGTGCATTGTTAGTTTCCGTTTGAAGTTATTCGCAGTTGGGGCAATACTGACTTAAACTATATGAGGGTGACAAATACTCATTTCAGACCTCATCTGCATCAGAAATAAATCACTAAAAATAACTTACATGTATACAATACAATGTAGTTTAAAAAAACCAAAAAACTTTAACTGTTTGATCAATCTTCAATTTACTTTTAAGTGATTTCATGACCGTAAAACACTTTAAAGGATTTAACATGATAACATTCCAAATTACAGAAACTCTTAAAGTGAAGTAAAAAAAATAAATTGGAAAAAGAATGACAACGAAAACTGGATTATAAAAAGTAAAACTGTTATCTTCTCCACACAACTTTATTCAAACATTTATTTTATATCAATTGGTTAGGATAAAATTTATAACATTCTAGTCAAATAAAAGTGATATATATTTACATCTCCATGTTCATGTTAGAATTTATATGGAACTGTTACTATTGCACACACAGACCTCACAAAAAGGTAATAACACAGTGTCATTCAATAATGACACTATGTTACAACTGATCCTTGCTAGATACTGAATTTGATTAAATCTCTTAGAACTGACTCATTTCCTTCAGTGTATTCATTACTATTGGGTCAAAAGTTCTATTTGTATAGGGATAATATCACTTATCCTTTCCAAAAACTTATTCGCCTCTATGTTTTTGCCAAAGTGCCTATTTTGAATTGAGTTAGCTTTACTAATTAGTCTTAATATTATTGCTCATTTCCTCGACTGTAATATGCCTACCATGGAGTTTTGTTCTACTAGTTTTCATTGGTAAAGAGCTGAAGGAATGTATTGCTAACAGATGGTGAAACATTTTAAGAAAGTTTTCACTTTCATATACTCCAATTAAATCTGTGTCAAATTCTGATGAAAACCACTTCTGTGTGTGTTTTCTCGATAAAATCTTTATTATAAATTGACAGCAGTCACAGGACATTAGAAAAACCATCAGCACCAAACAGCTGTTCCATTTGATTTGGAGGCATGTGGGAATTTACTGATTTCAAGCTGGTATTCATTACGGATTGATATCAGTTGGAGGAACATTGGAAATCTAAGAGCACTAGACAGTTGTTTCGTCTTAGTATAGGACTCCTCAGCAGTGAGCACCCACTATCCATTGCTTTCGGGTTCCGTGGGCAGTATGCTACCATTGAACCACTGCATTGGAATCCAGTGGTCCATATTTTCAACTTCTGTCAGTTTACAATATAGGTCATCGTGACCGCTGGGGCAAAAGTGGTGGATGTGAGGAGAAATACTCAATGATGATGTTGGGTGGCGGTCGCGTTATGTCGTAAACTGACAGAAGTTGGAAATATAGACTATTGGATTCTGATCCAGTGGCCCAATGGTAACATGCTGGTCTCGGTTTCGATCCAAGGGGATACGAGGTTACTGATGTAAACTTCTGAGGAGTACCATAAGAGAACGAAACAACTTTTTAGTGCCCCCAGGTTTCCAATGTCTCTCTAATTGATGTTTCATTTGAATTTGAGACTTTCAGTAAGGCCCATATGCAAATTCATCAGAGGTCAAGCGCAGGAACCTCCGCTTTTATTATAAGCACACTATCATCCGGTCTTCAGCTTGAAATAAAATAATGCAAGTCTTTCAATTTCTGTCACTTTGTTAAACCAAAACGACCGTCTATAAACCTATAAGTGCCCGCATTACACCACTTTCTACTGAATAAACCTATCTGTGCGTAATTGATGAATCATTCAGTTGGAATAATAATAATATTAACCTGTTTACGGATAACTTGAATATATATGTATATATGTATTTACATAATTTCGTCACAATTTATGCATGCGTATAATATTGGAAACTCAATCAGCTAAAAACAATAATGCTCTTTATACTTCATCTCTTTGTCTACATATTTATGCTTACTTGCGTATGTCTGTTACAAAACCGAATTCTTTCTCCAATTTCTGTCACAAACATTCACAAAGATAAACATAACACCTAATTAACAATCAACATAAGACAACAGAATGTATGTTCTTACTGATGAATAACTTTCAAAACAGTCTTTCCGGTGTGATGAACGTAAATACAGACAAACACTCTGTACTGACAGATAGGTAATGAAAGTCATGTATTCAGTTTGGAAAAACTGAAACATGTAAAGTGATACTGAATTCCATATGTGCATGATTCGTTTGACAACATATTAATAATATAAACAGAAGATTTCTAATAAATGAGTCTTGAGTGAAAACCAATAACATTCCATAGTTGTTGCAAAAATCGTGTACACTAAAATGGAAAACCTGATAATGAGATAAGGTGAAATTAGTAGTTAAGCTAGCATTGTATTGTAGTGCACCTTCCTGGTACTAAAATGCAACTACAGCTAAAATAAATAGATTAAATTAAATTAATTAAATATTACCTAAATAGCCTTCCAGCTCGGATCAATGAAAAAACCCCAGATGATTAGGATTTCGCCAACAATGATGACTTATGTCTAATGTCTCGGCGCACAAACTCGAAGGTCTACAGACAAAAACCAACAAGTTGACAGAAGAGGTGAGGCAGCGAAGACAGGACTTCAGGTGATTGTACAAAAGATAGGGTTGATGAAGATACCCAAACACCACCACCAACAACAACAAGAAGCACCAATCACCACGGACAGAAGAAACCTAAAGAAAGTAGTCTCTTTCACCTACCTACCTAGACAGCATCGTTCCAACTACAGGCGGTACAGGCACACATGAGGATGTCAAAGACAGGTTCAGAAAGAGAGAGAGACAGGCCTTCATTAACCTGAAACCGGTATGGAGATCTACTGCACTGCACTCAGTATAAAGTGTGAACAACATCCGAATTCTCAACACTAATGTTAGTCAACTCAGTGCTTCTATACGATGTTGAGAGACTTGGCGCGTTACGAACAGTATTTTCAACAAACTATAGACACTCATCAACAACTGCCTACGCTGGTTCGATACCGAAAACCAGATGACCAAAAGAATAAGCAACAAGGAACTCTGGCTGCCTAGTTGGCAACGAACCAACCAAGAACCTATCGCTCAACAAGTATGCAGAAGAAGAAAGTAGAGATGGATTGGATAGGACAGAGACTGAGAAGATCGATTGGGAATATCATGCACCAGGCCATGTCAGGTCGTCGAGTGGAGTGCAAATGGGAATTAAGCGTGTGAGGAAGAAATGGAAGGTTATGGGCAGTCGTGGAGCCAGCTTAGTAAGATTGCAGAGAAGAGAGTGAAATAGAGGCATGCTACTGAAGCTATATGTTCCACTTGGAACCCAAGGGACAAGTAAAATAATCTAAATAATCTTCTAGCCAGCCTTCGGATGCTTAATGTGCTTTCACGTTTTGTTTAAACGAGAATGCATATGAGCAGGCTTCCACCCTATTTTGCGCTCCCTTTGTGCTAGTTAGCATCCACACCCTCAGAGTCCCCAGTTCAGCCATATTAGCCAGATAAGTTGAATAAACTTTTCCTTAATAATCACTATCACATTTATTCTATTTAACTATATTGCTCCTTTGTATATATTCCTGAAACCAGTTCTTTTAGTTTGTGTTTCGTTATCAGTACTTTTACGTTAGGTAAGGTACTGATTAAGCAGGAACTACACCATACCGAGTTAAGTAGGGTTGGCTAGGTGCTAGGTAACCGTAACATGATTAGTCCCTCCACAGTGTACAGTCTTCAGAATACACAAATCAACAGGTGATCTTAGGAATCTAATGGAGATATCCAAGATAAGCCACAAGAGTTATTAGACTAAACATAACCTAAAACTAGGAGGAAATTTTAAAAAAATAACAGGCGCTGAGTCTACCCAACTGAAAAGTTCTGTTGAATGTTTTACTTAATTGTATACGCTAGTCTGAAAATAAAATGCTGTGTTAATGTGCTGTTATTCAAAGTGTTCAAACTTTATCTTTCAAAATGATGGGGAAAACATTTCTGCTAAGATAGTAAAAGAAATCGGAGCGTACTTGATTGTTAGATCATCATGGTGCAAACTAGTTTTAAGCGGAACTTTTTATGGATATTAATCTACCGGTACAGACATTTGTTGTTTCATCAGAATTTATGTCATAAGAAGTGAAAATATGCTAGAAATGACGAATTAATATTCTGTAAGCCGCACTAGTCTTTCAACAGTACTGCACAGCACACATTACAAGATGCTCACTTTTGGCTGACATTATTAAATGATATTAAATGATCTATTTTAGAACAGAAACTTGAAAATCCTGTGGTATCGAAAGGGAAAGGTTAAGATGAAAATCTGACAAAGGAGATATACAAGAATTACAGAAGAAGATTTCAATCTACACACTGTTAGTGTACACTGGAAAAGTGAAGTTAAAATTGTGTTTTTATTCATACCTAGTATCTTTGAATAAGTACGTTAATAGGATGATTGGTAGCAGATTTGTTCAGTTACATTTCGATATTTTTTTAATTTGCCTCAATCATCATTCGCCCAACCTAACTGTTAACTGTATAAACTATAGTTTTCAGAAAAAAATTAAAAGGGTTTAAAATGAAATCAATAGCCAGAGGTGTTATTTTTCAGAACTTACCAAACCAAATACTTTTGGACCTCCAATAGTTATGAGAAAAATCAAAATAAATGCAGTTATATAGGGAATTGAAATCAGTCCCCGATTATTAAACCAAGAAGGGAATTCCAATCCGGATAAAATGCTGTCACTTCTCATAAGTAGAAAGTTTCTAGAACAATAAAAATGAAGCGGATAAACTTTAAGTTACGGAACAAAATTACTGAGTATTTGTTCAACTTGACGTTTGGTTACAAAGTCATTCATAAAAATCAAGATAAATAGCAATTGAAAGATACAAAATGGTCTGGGAAGCTTGTATAAGGACCAGAGTTTGAATAATATGTCCCTATTCTTCGAATGAAAAATCACTCACTAACCGACGACCTTGTCAACCACCAGTCAAGATACCTTTCAGTTAACTGTCTTGATCTTACCGTTTAGTTTATAACTGAAAATTTTTATTTACTAATAAGTGAAATTCGTGAGCGTCTTAACTTATTCCTTAAGATGACAATTTTCTTTATGTCTCACAAGCTCTATCTATGTATCAGGCTCCCTTCAAAATTTAAATTTCGTTAGCATCACTACCGCAAAGCAAATAACAGCAACTAAGTGAGCACATCCGCTTGATTGCTTTTGCAGTAACGCTGAGGAAATCTGTATCAAAAGATTCCTTAGGTAAAAACGAATGCCTTAAATGAAATATGCCACCAAACAATGACTGGTTGACTGACAGAATCAATGTAGAAGATTGCACAGGAGTGCGTCGGTTCAAGTTACTACACTTAACAGAAGTACACGATGAACAGTTGAACACAAAGAGAGTAATATCAAAGTAGACAAAGTTGTGTCAGAGAGCGAACAATCTGAAGATAAAGGTTGGTGTGAATATTCAAGCTTTAGAAGGTGTCAGGGAGTGAATACATTTACGTCGTTGTGACCGATTCTCAGTTATGTCACCAAATGTCCTCGACCGCTGGATCCTTTCGTCTTGGGGACCTCAACCAGACTTGTACATCTCTCTGCACGGCTCATGTCGAGAGTAGGAGTCTTCGTCGACTGGTTTGAGGTTTGGGTCTGGCCACTTTGAACCCTTTTCTATTCTTATCCAAACTTCCCTAGCATCGGACGTCGACGTAAGAGGTGGCTAGGGATAGGCAGTATATTTCCAACCCAGCTCAGCTGATTAGCGTTCACAACATCCTCAATGAAGTTGCCTACCTTGACCAGTACCTCTCCCCTGACCTCAACATTGCTCACACGATGATACTATCAAAAGTGAGAACTGAGATAAAGACATTTATGATTAAAAACCTTAAGTGCTTCATGTCTCCTACCTTTTACAGCCATCTCACAGACGTACAACAGGACAGAAAGGACTGCAATGCAGTATACTCATCCTCTGACAGGTAGCCAGATATCTAGACGACACCAGGGGAGACATAAGTTGGCAAGTTCTAAACGGGCCGGTTTGGTGTTGGTGGATCAGTGAAAATAGATGACACAATGTGCATTCAGTTAAATTTTATCAGCTTTAAGGAGGTCAAATATTTTGGAAAGCTATCAATGGGTTTCATTACATAAAAACAATTTTTACATGTTATCTCAGTCTTTCAGTCTATGTATTAACCTGTGATTCAAAAACAGTCGAACCAACATATGTATGAAAATAAATGCAACACCGCTTACAGCATAAACTTTTCTTCAGGAATTGGTCCTGCATGAACTATTTTGTAGTTGCTAAATATGCTTATCCAAGTAGAAATTCTAGTCTTACTCCTTGCAATCGCCTTCACTCCATGAGTCAGAACAGGAACTCCACACGAATGTTCCACCAATACAGCTTCTTCCATCGCAGTTATAAGTAGTGAAGAACAAATATGACAAAGAAATAGCGACAAAAAATGCTCCAGTGGTAACTCTGATGAGGTTAGTGAAAATGATGATGACTGAAAATACTAAAGAACGTCAACAAAGCTAAGGGAAGACTACTGTTGGATATCGGAAGATATTTATCAAAAAGCACAAAGCACTTTCGCGGGAGTGACTGAAGATGCGAAACTGAAGGTATAAAACTGGAGAATTAAAAAGCAAGTGAAAAATGACGAAGCACAAAGATGTCCAACCAGAACCCATGTAATGATTTAGTGGATACTTTGCAAACATAGACATTGGCATGCAACATGAAGATAACAACAATGCATGTATGAATTTCCAATAGGTTGGTGAAGTTTCCAAGATGTTGGAATGAACGGAATTGCAAGCCATTTCCTGGAATTGACACCAGTATAGTTTCCCGTATCTAGCGAGCTTTGACCCAAAAGATAGCCCTTAATGCTGTATTCTAACTGGATTAAATCAGTGGACTTCTGTCCAAGCCAGTTTGTGGTGGTCTCTGCCGACCGCCCTACGACCACTAGGTATACCCTTTGAATAGACTCGTAACGGTAAACATTTAGTTTTGACCCAGTCAAACAAACCTCCGATAACAGAAGCAAAGTCACTAGCGGTGACGAAGGATACTGGTAACATTCGTAATACACAAATAAATGAAAGGAGATGGAAACATTATTCACGACATACTGACCGAATATCTGAAAAGTGGCATGCCAAACTTCTGTCTTCACTTCTAGCATCCAACAACACTCAACTTCAGTAGTAGGCTTTATTGCGTTGCCTCACTTTAGTCAACAGCTTTAGGTGAGTGGGTGCAGTTGTCTAAGGCGTTGTGCGTATGTTTTGCCTGGTAGTCGGATAAGTGACTGTGTCGTCCTTCTACGTACTCTTTTGGTTAGAGAGGGAGCTATCATTTTGAAAGCCCCCAAGTTCAGTTTGATGTAGGTTTAAAGTCTATAATAAATAATTCGGGATTTAGAGCTCTTAGATGGTTCCTTAGAAAGTGTAAGACACCGTTCGTCTTTGCCTCTAATCTTTTATCGTTGGGACCGGTGTCTGTGTACCACAGAGATTAATTCCGAAGCGCTTCACCGTGGACATCCTCGTGGCTGCAAGACTACCGAGGATGCATCAGATTTTCATCAATTTAATGTCTGAAGATACATCGCCTTGCATTCTTCAAGCTGAAATTCAAACCATTCTCAGCCGTCCTGCACTCCAGCTGCACCAGGTCATCTTTGAGTATCCCGGCGTCTTATACCTAGTCATTGCCCTTGATATTTTGATACCGTTGGTAAATAGGGATTGGCGGGAAGAACTGGACAAAGAGAAGGCCTACGAATAGAGCTGCAATGGAATAGGTGGGCACTCTGGTTGATGGCAATACTATCTATTTGAATATTTCCGATCTCTATCTAGCGGGTATCACCTACCCTCGACCTGTGCATTATCGCCGTCTTTTTCGACTTTGCAGTGTCACATGCTTCCTTAGAATCAATAGCCTAGGGTTCGAAAAAATTCAAGACTGACGCTGACTTTCTTAGTTTTACCGGACTCGCTAAGTTGAAGGTACATGGTCAAGAATCCACGCCACTCGGCAAGCTGTTGTGTTATGTTGCACTACTTGTAATGGCTCTCTACCCAGTTGGTTAGAACACACTGGTATTTTGTCACGACCTCGCAAACAAAATATTTCATCTGACTACGCTATCGTGTCCTTTCTTGATCCGTATTCGTGGTTATACAACAAGTAAGGATAATTAGTGTTTAGCCTTTGCGACTGTCAAGTTCGCACTAGGACAGTTCCTAAAACTTAACGCTCATTATTTGACTTTTTTGATTGACACCTATCCTTAATGCTCCACTCTATTATTATGTGATCTGGACTGTTAACATCACATCTCTGGTCTGCTGTTTCCGACATTTCGTTTGGCTGAACTCAAGGCTGCTCTGTGAAGCGAATGCTTGTCTTTTAATCGTCTACTGAAAACTTTATTACTTAATTCGCCCCTCCTCAGGCATTGTCGACCCCATTTTGCTGCGAATGTCCTCGTTGATTCGCAGTACTTATACTGCAGCAGAGAAGATTTTGGACTGTATAGCGTTGGTGAGCGCCACAAAATGTGTCACTTACTTATCCCGTCAGATCGCGCCTTGGTGTTGTAGTGAACCCTCCTGGCACCAAAATACAACTACGGCTAAAATAACTAGATTAAATTAACCCAATTAAATAATCTCTAGCTCGGTTCCGGAAGCCTTAGATATTTTAAGTTTCGTTTTAACCGGCATACATCCGAGCAGGCTTGGACGCCATTTTGCGCTTCCTTAGTGCTGGTTAGCACGCATGTACTCGAAGTCCCTAGCTTAGCCATGCTAGCCAGATGAGTTGATTAAACTTTCCCCCGTTCATTACTATTGAATTTGCTTTAATTAAATACATTAATTCTTCAAATATTTTCCCGAATCAGCTCTATTGATTTGTGTTTCGTTGTCAGTACTTACACGTTACGTAAAGTGCTGGTTAAGCAGGTACTAGAGCACACCAAGTTATCAGGGTTGATCGAACGTTACGGAATAGTAACACGCATCCCCACAACCTCCTTCAGGTGTAATCTTTTATTGTGTGTGACTCGAGAAATTTCGGGAGGCTGTAATGGCGAAAGGCGTAACTTGTCGGGATCGTGTTGTTCGATTGGATTGTTTCCGGCACTCAGACCGAATTACATGAATTTTAGTCGTTACAGAGACAGCTTTTCTAGATAATTCTCTCCTCTCTGTCCCCTAGACAGACCGAATTTTATTTACTTTAGCGCAGAATTCCCCTTCCGCCAGGTATGCTTCGCACTGTGTTATCAGTAGCTCTGTAATGCCTGCTTTTGTCACTGGCAAACGTGGTATGTGGGATGCAATGGAAGCCTTTGGTTAGGTCCAGAAGGACAACAGGTACCGGTTGGTTGTTGCGAAATCTACCGGTTCAGTCATTCAAAACAGTCATGAAGCTTGTGGGATATGACTGCCCAGTTCTGAGGCTGCTTTGGGTGGCATGGGCGATGTTGTTTCTTTTTAGGTAGGCCTAAACAACAACTGCAGGCATGTCATCAGTGCTTTGGGTAGCACTGGCCCCTTTTTTGATCTCTTCCCTTGAAGGCTGGTGAACGAGTAGCATGGCTGCATTCTTTAGGCAGATGGTTTACTCCCCGTGAGTGCACAAGTAGACCGCATACGACCACGCTCGAACTCTGGCATAGTTAGTTTGAACCGGTTGAAAGGCAGTTCCAACATTGCCATACCAAGAAATGCTTTCTGCTTATTCTTTTATTGCTGGTTTTCGGTTTGGCACAAATGATTATGGGTTTGTAGCGTCACATACTTCCCTGTTTAACAGTGTCCAGTGCTTCGATCACTCATGGATGCGGTTTTAAATATTGATGATTTTTATCAGTGCGTGTTTCGTTGACATCTGTGACTTCATAAGAGCAAAGTGTTCCGATAGAACCAAACACTAATGATAAGAAACATCCAAGAAGGCCGGTCTGTTTGTAGATACCGTTTCTAGGCCATTCGCTACGTTCGTTTACTGCTTCGTCGGTTATTTGCAGAGAGTAGGATTCCATGAGAGAAATCCTAATTTTGATTGTGGCGTTGCAATGCAAAGGGTGAAAAATGGTGAAAGCAGGCATAGTTTCATTGTTACGAGTCGAGATCTTTGAGAACAGGATAGTTTTTCAAGGATCTTATCTGACTCTCCAAAATATGACGACACTAGTACCACATTGGGTTGTAAAAATATCTGTAATATCAGCAGGAGCTTTGACAGCCGTTAGTGAATTCCACTGAGTGCAGCGGTATCAGCATTGCAGAAATATTTGCCCCGAAATAACACACAGGTTGGGTGCGAAGTTTTTGCAGCAGGTAGGGTGGTGGGAGTGAATGAATGCCTTGTTCGCAATCGTAAACATAATCGAGGAAGATGACTCCAACAGCACTCTATAAGTTACATTTATATGTCATGGCAACTCACCGATTCTCGGTTAATGCCTTCGAAGAATGCCGGGGGGCATTTTCAGCGGAAAAAAGAGAGTGACCTATAATATTGGCCATATATTATGAATAGAATCAGCCACTAAACGCCTTAACCATTTCTATCGATTTTTCTGGATGCCTTGAATATGAACAAATGTTCGGGATCCATTCACACATTTTCGTCGGGCCGAACGGGGGAGACTTGTGCCCAGCATTAGGCCATGGGTCGGATATAGAAACAAATGCAGTGCGCATGGGTCCCAGCCTTGGGCCGGTGGGGCCAGGTGCAAGGTCGCCTTGAAAAATGCCGGATCACACATTTTTCCGACTGCTAAAACCTACGGTCAGACGTAGGGCGAAATACGAGGCCTAGAAACACGGGAACAGTGTTGCGAAACGTCACGATGGGCCTTATATCTGCCCTGATGCGTTCCATGATGAGAGGCCAGACATTATCCTATCTGACCAGAAGAAAATGTTGACCCAGTTCAAATAATGTTATGCATGCCTCAAGAGTTTACAGTTTTCCTTGATATTGATCATGTCCTCCAAATGTCAGATTCAATCCCTCTTTGAACCAGTCAGTTGATGAAGCGGACACAACTTCTTCTAGAAGTCGGCTCCAGGCGTTGACTACCCGACACGAGGACCAGTACTCTCCTTGCTTTTGTAGTCTCCTAACATGTCTTCTGAGGTGTTCCGACCTAGTGGGAAGGAAAAAGAAGATATGTCAGGTCCCCTCTGTCTGCGACAGGACAAAATGAAGAGGTTAAGTTCCTTAAGTCGATTTTAATGATCGAGGCCAGTCGTCGGAGGGACCCCATGAGTGGCAGTCCACTGAACTCTTTCTAGAGGGTCTGCGTCACCCTTCAGAAAGGATTTGCCACCTGTGTACAGTTTTCTAGTTTAGGCCTAACTAAGGATGTGCATAGGATGGTGAACATGTCACCAATTATTTTCGTAAATGTTCTACGTAATGCCCAGAGAGGCCTGAGACTCCCAGCCACTGCCAATCAACAGTGAGCCGTGGTTTTCAGGTCATTACTCACTGTGACTCCCGGGTGATTATATGACAGTACTGACGGTGGTGGAGCCGCACCAATATCGTAGGTGTCGCTCTGCATGTCCTATGTGCATACCCACGGGAAAGGCCAAAATTATCCCCAGGTGTTGTGTTCACAATAAGTCTTGGTGTTGTTTGTGGAAATACGAACATTTTCTGCGTTCTGTATTAATATTCTACCTACTTACATAGTTTTTAGAATGCGGTCTGTCATTGCATCGTGCATCACACGCTTCATTCATGTGCAGCGCTGCAGCATGGCTGTAATTTCACTTCTTATGCCGAAAGTAAGCACAATTATTTAGGAAGAATGGTCCTCACAGGTGGCAGTGAGTTAGCCTTAGCTTCAAATAACATCAGTAAGGATTTATGATTGGTTTTTTCAATTCAGAACCTTCCCATACAGAACACATAAAATACATATTCTCAGAAGGAATGCTATGACACGTGAGGATAACTTTTTGTCTCACCCATGCTCACACATTTACCTGCATTGATAGGCATCAGCCATTTCCATTACCAGGTAAACAAGCTGTTTAGGTCTGCCTGAAGCGCTCGTATATCATCATCGTTACTAACTTGTGGCCAGATTTTTACGTCACCAGAGCAGAGAGCCGTAGGAGACCCCGAGATATTTGATAACTCACGCATAGGGGAAACAGCAGGGGACCCAGGACTGTGCCTTGCTGCACTCTACTCTCTACCAACTTCCAAGAGGACAGTTAAGAATTGATCCTCACTCTTCGTCTCCTATCAATAAGGACCTCTTTTATTGGCGCAAACAGACTAACGGTCGCGTTGATTTTTCCACGTCGAGATTACTTAATATGCTGTATACACAACGACTGACACAGCCGATGCCTTAAAAAGAACAAGCAGCCCCTCAGCCACAAATTAAACACATTCGATAATAAGGAAAAAAATTACAACTGGCTCTTTTATGACAATGTCACATGTATTTGTTTGACTACGTGGTAAAGCTTCTGGCGCCTGGGTCGCTGATTCCCTGATCTGTAACTGTGGAGGTTTGTCTTTCTTGAGATGCACTGGATGTCCCTCTGAAACCCATTAGAGACATACAGAAGTTAAGCCTATCGTGATATGGCACATGGATGTCAGTTATTATCAATTGATCAAGGGGGAATTATTTGGTTGTTTCATGCTTTGCGTAGGCGAGAAGGGTTGATAATTCAAGTAGTCACATCATTTTCAGTATAAGGTCGGCAGTAAAACGGAATAAATGACCTTACCTCCCGCAATGAGGGAGTCAGATTGACGTAACTATACAGAGTCAACGCTGGACCAATGTTATTATAGTATACTCACAGTTTTGTGACAATTAGCCCAAGATATACATAACATTATCCTTTTGTTGATTAAATTTCTGATTGCACAGTCAGTTTTCTCAGACTTTAAGTGGTGCTGTGTTGTAGAAATCTTGCTATTCCACAGCGCATAAGAACACCACGATGATAAACTAGTAGTCAAGACTTGCGATTTACTGTGGAGAATATAGCTAGGAACGACGCAGTTATGTGTGTAGTGAGTCTGTGACATTGCAGAGTTGTCAGGTACTGCGTCAATCGTCAGGATAATTTGACTTCCATTTGCACATTTGTTCCATTGTTCGTACTTTAGTGATGGTGAGAAGCGCATGCTTAGTCTTAAACGACCTGACACTTCATTTCGTCTGACTAATACTCTTATACTGTCCTCGAAAAGCTACAGTACTAATCCATCTGACCTTTGTTTCGGGTCATTTACAACCGCCTTAACATCCGCAAGAGTTGACCCTATCTCGATGTCCCATTCAGAGTCCAGCGGGCAATGAGATAGCTGTCTTTCGAGATTTCCAGCCTGATTCCATCCATCTCTTAAGCTAGTGAACCACAGATTAGATGTTGGCGTCAGTTTCACTAACCATTGACTTTGGGCCGGTTTCCTTGATAAGTCTAAATAAGTCCACTGTTATCTATCCACTTCCATTTCTTCAGCCTTTGTTACCCACCACTGTTTGTAGTCATTAGGTAGACTATTTGTCAACCTACATTTGAGCTGCTTCCACTCATCGTAACGTAGCCTACGGAAATGTGTTCTCATGTATCCATTTCGGAAGCTGCTGTAATGCAGTAGCCGACTCTAACATTATTTTGAAAACCAGTCATGGTTTTTGATACCTTGACAGCGGGCTGGAGATAGCACCAAGCTTCCTGAAAATGATTGACCCCATGTTCTGATAATTGTCCAGTCAGTTCCTTATTGGAAGCTACCCTTGCGTTCCTGCCATCGAACTGTGTCTGGTGTAGTTTTGTTGATTTCGTTTCCCCTAGTCTGTTTAGATATTGCCATGTGCTTGCTGGAAGCAATGCGCTGTGACTTCGAACTCGTGCTCAAAACAGGGATGCGATCCTCCACAGACTTACCAAATTTGGTTCCAATATGATCAGTGTGTTTACTGTGATATGCTGGCCAGAAATAGGTAGTTGCCAGCAGAAATGAACGTCGGACATCGCACAAGAGTGCATCGATTCAAGCTGTCCCACTTCCCAACAGCACGCTAGTAAAATGATATCAGAGTTGACAAGTGGATGCAAAGAAAAATGAAGCTTAGCGAAATGATTCAGATCATAAAACAGTGAGTATAACTTCATCATTGCAACTGATTTCCAACCGTGTATCTTGCACTCCAACGTTTGGTTCCTGTTATCTCGAGGACTCAAACCAGGTTGTTAACACCTTACATGGCTCAAACGTACAGTCAAAGACCTAATGAGTGGAGTGATCATCCTATCCTACCACTTCACTTCATGTGCATAAGCTGCAAACTAATCCTGAAACTTCGCACTACATTTAAATTCTCGAAAATGAGTACCAAACCTTGAATTTCTCCTTAGTGCATTTAGAAGACCCTCTAATTTGTCACTGTTGTCACCTAAAGACAAATTCGTGTGCGTACCCGAAGTCAAATAAGTGCTCTTTGGGAGGGACCCAGGGTTATGTCCATTATTACACCTATGACGAAACCAAACATAAGCGGTGACGGTGGGAATCCCTGACAGACCTCTATCGTCAACTCGTGACAGCTTTCCATTAGCCCTCACACGCCTGTGTGAGTTGCAGCAGAGGGCTTTGTCTTGCGTTATATGCTTGGTCGGTGCTATCTTAACAGTTAGATACCTCGGGGTCGACGTAGTCGAATGCTGCCTTCAGATCAAGAAACATCACAAGTTTCGCCTGCCGATATCTAGGTCTACGTTTCGTTTCTTGACGAAAGCGGTCTGGCAAATATCTCTGCGCAGGTCGTTTTCTTGAGTTTGTTGTCCTCAAGCTCCACTTAGGCGTCGGATAATTATGGACCCTAAGGTCTTGGACACAGTATTAGCCAAGTTCATCCCCCTATGGTTGTCACATGATTCCTCCTCCTTATAAACTGGGATGATAAATGGAGTAGACCAGTCTGACGGTACTGCCTCTAACCCCCGATACATTATCTAGTACTTCCCTCACTCTAATTAGCAATTCCCTACCCTCATCCTTAAAAGCAGGTGGCAAACTGCCAGGTCCTGCTACTTTGCATTGTTCCAGGTTTGTTACACTTTTCAACTTCAAGGAGAGTTGAAAGATCGACACGTATGTCCTGTTCAGTTTCGGACTAGATTCAGAGCAACTAAAGCGTTGCTATGAGTTAACTGAAGTATTCTCCATTGTGTTGTGCCCGAAATAGTCGCATGTAATGAGAGGTTATCAGGAAGCCGTCATTTACGGTGATGGCCTCAGTAGTCAGTGTCTTATTGCCAACATCGTTAGTAAGCTTAAATAATTGCTGACGTCTTCTCCATCTCTCGCCCTCGCCACCCACTGCTTATCGCGATCATTGCGAAGACTGATTCAATTTATTTAGGTTGCTTTCGCTTGTCTTTATGGTCACATCCAGCTAGAGTGCTTCTCGCACTAAGCAGCTCGGACATGATTGTAGAAACCCGTGACTTTTGCTAAGCCTTGAATGTGGGCTACCAACTATCTTTGCCGCCGTTTTTACAGGAGACTTGGTATCATACCAGAGCTTCATCGGGGTGTGAATTGCCGTCAAGTTCGAATAAATGCTGTGGCTATCTCTTCCTTAAATGTATCCTCATTTTCCAGTCGAGCACGCAGAGACTTTACTGCTACTTGTTTCAGTTGATCAAGCAAGCATCTACGTACCCATATTGATGCGTAGTCGGAGTCCAAACAGGTACTTCAGGAAGGGCGGCAATCCTCCAACGACGGCTTATAGCAATGTGATATATCTGCGTCTATCGTTGGTTTGATGTCGGTGGATGCCAATTGAGACGGTGTGTCCCTACATTTAGAGTTGGCGCTAGCCAGAAACGAATGACTGTCGCTTTTGAATTCGTTCATGTGGAACACCGTAGATACTTCAAAGTACTCTTGCGATTGCCTCACATTTCTACTTAAGCGTTGAATTCGCCTGTTGGTATGTATATATCTGGACGATGCGCTGTGTTAAGCCAAATTGACACCTTGATAGAATTTATTTTTTGTATGGTTTGAACTGCATTTAGTGTAAAATATGGGGGAACGCTCTTAAAAATCCATTCGGTCGGACAACACAGGCGTCTGTTAACTGCTTCAGAAGTGGGCTTATTGCTCTGCAATTTAATACTATACATACATCAGCCAGTCCTGTGAAGCTAGCCAATAAATTTCATGTATACTCGTAACTGAGTTTTGCGTATTCATGGTTTTTACCAGGTCAGGTCAAGTGAATAACACTTGGCTTCCGTATACATGGTTCAAGAATCCAGTTTTAGCCTGAGACGTCTGTTGCCCAACTTGACCTGATTTTTGGACATGGAAAACATGTTAAATGGGCACCATGTTTTAAGAAAACAAAATGGTTTTCTGTGATTAATCGTCGGTAGGAGATGCAGAGTAAGAAGTTAAAGAAGCCCAGTGTCGGTAGAAAGTAAAGGCAATATGAGATAAAGGTAAGTTATGGTTAGCTGTGTTTTGCTTGTTTCTGGGAGTGTGTTAGGGGTTAATACTCCCTGGTTTCCCGCTCCATATAAGTTGCTTATGCAAGTTCATGGAACAGCATCCCTCACCTCCTGAAACCGCACTCCGGACCAACCATCGGGGCTTCCAATGTCTTCACCTTCTGTGAAATCGACCAACAAGCTTCGCTGGCCAAAACTCTAGCGTCTCAGACCACGGATGTTTACAAGGTACATATACCGGACCCAAATGCAGTTATTCCCTCAGTCTTTTGGCCACTATGGTGAATCCTCAAAACATGCGAGTTTCTGATCTCGTGGTCTTACAGGTGTAGGCTTAGGATTGAGTTCTAAGGCAGAAAGTGGGCTGATTGACTACATTCCAGTTGACAGTCTCGTGTGGCCTGTTCGACTGAACGGCACAGGGACACGACGAAAATGAGTGGTGAAGTTTGCCATTATCTCTTTGTAATCCGTGCTTGTGCATCCACTAAGTGCAGCTCAGAAGTGAAGAATAACTTCTACCGAAAACAGTAGCCTGCTAAAAGCCAAACTTTTAGACGTGGTTATCGTTTCATGTTACTTTGATGCTCGAGTGGGTAGGTTAAGTAAAACAGAACAGCACTTAAGTCCCACTTTCGGAATCCCAGCTGAATGAACAGATAACGGCGATCGCCTGACCCAACTGCGCTCAGGCAATCATCTATTTTTGGCCAGCACAATCTTCAGAAATAAAGGGAAACATCCGACGAGGTGTCTGCCGACCTCAACTCACTGGTAAACATATTGCTATAGGTTATCTCTGGAGAGAGTCAGTGGAAGATTGCAGTTCCTGTAGCACGTGTCTAGACAGCGAGTACTCGTGTCGTCGTATAATTGAACTCAGGAATGCTATGGCCGCAAGACCATTTCGAGTGCTGCTTGACGATGAGAAAATTAGGACTGTTTTCAACAAGAAGTTAGCTAGACAGTTATCGGTACAGAACAACACTCATCCCGAGGAAGACTGGTGCCATCTTCAGTCTGCTGTAAAGACGGCAATGAATACGGCGACTGACTTAGAAAGTGGTTGGAGAGAGCCACTGGGTCTCACCAGCCCTGAAATGGATGCATGCAAACCCGTTCCTGTAGGCTATGATGATGAGAAGCGAAAGCAACTCAAATGTAGTTTGTCAAATAGGCTACACAATGACCGCATACAGTAGTGGGTAGCGAAGTCTGAAGAGATGACAAGGCAGTGGTGATAGATAACATTAGGGTTATTTAAACTTATCAGAAAAATGGTGCAGACAGGTCAGTGTTTAGTGAGAGTAATTCAGAGAAGGGTTTTTCTGCGATCTATTTCGATAGAAGACAACTGGAACAGTGGGCCGAACACTGAGAAACAGTTCAACTGACCTTCCGACACTATTCCTTTGCCAGCTGGCTATCTAGTCGAATCATAGGTGGAACACTTAAATACAGCTTCCAACACGTATGAAACTTGAGATAGCTGTAAGTAATCTAAGATGACAAGGAATAGCAGACTTATTGTTTTCATTTTCTTAGCAAAAGCTTTAAGACATCTTAAGCACTTGCTGGGAATTCTTTCACCAGAGTTTATCCCACTGACCTGACCGCAGAAGGCTGAAAACAAGCCGTATTCATCAGTGTATAGACGTATTGATGAAGCTGACCTAATGTTGTCTGTAGCATTCAAATTAATTCGCAAACCATCCAGTCCATTGTTGGTCAGGATACCTTCAAAGGAATAAATAATTAATAATAAAAAAATGGTAATAACAATAAATAAATAACTAAAAATTATGTATATATATATATATATATATATATATATATATATATATATATTGCACATGCAACAAATTCACCTTTTTTCTGTTTTGTTATAGAGGTTGGTTAAGAGCTGGTTGTAGTTCGGTATCTTAGAGAAGGTTTCAGTTTGTGCGATGCCAGAAACTGTTGCTGTAAAAAGTGCGAAAGGTGAGTTTCTTTTATAACATGAACGTATATTCCGTTAGATGGACAACAAGAGGAACAAGAGTTGGCCTCCAAAGCTCTTCGTATACAAAATAAGCGTTTCTACTTAGATATCAAACAGAACAAGAGAGGTCGCTTTGTCAAGATAACCGAAGTTGGTAGTGGAGGACAAAAGTCACGTATCTTGATGTCAATGCCTGTCGCTCTAGAAATGAAAGAAAAAATAAATAAACTTAGTGATACATACAGCCAACTACCGTCGCACAATCGGGAATCACTTGCACAAGATGGGCGTATTGCATCAGACATCATTGTTCGTGATAGCAGACGATACTACCTTGATCTCAAAGAAAACGAACGAGGTCGTTTCTTGCGCTTAGCTATGCTGTCCGTGGGTGTTCGTGTTCAGATCGCAATCCCAGCTCAGGGTATGATCGAGTTGCGCAACGCATTGGCTGATCTCATACAAAACTACTCAGGAGATACGGAGAACGGTAAGTGTAAATGAAATCTAATTTTGTATTAGGAATGTTTCTCATAAAGTGCATATTTTATACATGGCTAATAATGGGCTGCTTGTTTTGTATTGATCGAGCAGATGTGTCAACCTCCTTTCTTATGTTAGCGTTTGTATGATATACAGTAGGTATACTGATAGCTACAGATAAAAAGTTGAATTTGGCATAACTTCAATAATTTATTGATATTTCTTTTAGTTGTGATCTTAATGACAGTTTTTTGAGGTGTTAGCCACCCAAACGCACTGCTATGATTGAGGGTAGGATAAGCCTAATCATCTAAAGATAGTCTCACATGACCTATGTTCACAGCCCCTGCGACGGAAATCTTACAACCTTCACGTGTCAGAGGTGTTTCCTCGAAAGTCAGAAAGCAAATGCCTGATATTTTTAACTGAATTGATGGGTCCACGTAAAGGAAGTCAGAAATCCCTAATTCTAAATCGCGTTCATACAGTTTTTTCAACACTCACAATGATTTCAAAACGCTTGCCCGATCTCCTTATGAGTAACAAAATTGAGCTTGTTACGAACTTCCTACCCAAATATTCAGTTTGTGTTGTTATTATATTAACACTAATATGAGGAAGTGTAATGAGGACTCACATACACCTCTCTGTTGTTCCAAACCAAAAGTGCGGTCAGGTGGGCAACCCGTTTTCGCCATTCCTCTTTAACTTTGCCATCTAAAAGTGTGTCGTAGTGTGTAGACATGTTACAGATAAAAGACTTTTCCAACTCGAGTAAGCACTAAGTGCTTTTACATCATTCACCCCTGGCGATGATCCGTTGTAAGGTCTGTGTTCACTGGCGCTAGTTAGAACAGACAATCAGTACAATTTCATGCTATTTTGTTTATTTGATGTAGCAGAGTGACGTTTCGGGAGAATTTATTACTCATACCAAAGACCTAAAATGAATATGGGCTATAAATTCTGCTCCAAAAGTGACCCAGTAAATAACGCTATCACTGAGTTATACCAGACAAATAATCTAATATTTGGATTATGCTCTATCACAACGCCTAAGTTGTACTCATACATTAAGGTAATCAGTATATGGGGTTACACTGTGGGATGAAGTTTGGTTGGTTCTTCGTGACTCCCTTGATAGGAATCCGCGAGACCACGTAGTGCAGTAGCTAAAGACAATAGTAGATTTGGCTGAAAATTTGAGACCAACGGCTTTCATACTTCAGCTTTCTTGTTTCTTCTATTATCAAAAAGTAAAATGATGCTTTTTTCATATGTGCTTAAGACTGCTTGTCTAATAAACTATTTGTTTGTTCACTTCTGTTTTTTCCTTCCGCATCACTTCGATGTTCCTAATGCTTAGTCATTTTGGATGGCGCATTTCTTAGTGCCTATGTTGCATCACGTTTGTTTTGAGTGGATTTTGAGGTATAGTTGCTCCCCTTTCAAACCCGAATTTTCGATTTTCCAAGTACACGTATACTGTTATCTGAACACTGATAGAGCATTTTATGCGTATCCATGTTGATTTTTTGTTTTCACCCAACCACTTAAGGCACGAGTTTTCTGTTTACCCTTGAAGTATTCATATTTCACACACTATATGCATTGAACATATTTTCACACTGCTTAGTGAAAAGTTGCAACGCTTTTCATCGATGCAGTAATACCATAAAGAAACTACTTACACGTTCAAATGAAAAGAGTACCTCAGTCTAAAGTAGCTTTTATTTCCAAATGATTTTGACCATACAGGTTGAGAATGTTATTTTAAAAGATGAACACTTAATTCTGCTTTTGTTGCTTAGATGGCATAATTAAAGGGAACAACTAATATTATCTATTTTTTACTATTCCTTTCAGATATATTTTCAGATCTACCTGAATCTAAAGTACTCTTTGTTGGCAACAAAACGTTCTATTTTGATGTCGGTTCAAACAGATTTGGCATATTTCTGCGTATATCTGAGGTTCGTGCTAACATTCGTTCCTCAGTCACTATACCTGAACAACACTGTACACGGTTTTGTGATATTATCACTGAGTTGGCTAGCAAAATTTCCAGTCAGAAACTAACTAATGGAGTGTCCGAGGATGGAAGTAATTCTGATCAACCAGAAGAAAAAGCTAAAGAGGATGCAGTAGAAAATACAGACGGGGAAGTCTCACCAACCGCATCCTAATGCGTGTTTCTATTATGATCTCAACAATGCTCTGGCATTTATTGTGATGCATCTTATTTGTTTAACTTACAATTATTCTATTTTATTTTTCCGTTTTACCCAGTAATTGTGGCATTTTTATATAATAGTTATTTTGTCTTATGTAAACTAGCTTGTTTTTGTCTAGCTATATACTCCTTAGGTTTTATTTCTTATTTGGCATGCGTGTCTATCTTTTATGTTACCATTATCTGTTGTGAAGCTTGTGCTGTGTCGCATGAATATAACCTAACTGCTTGTTTTGTGATTAATCACATGCACAATCATTGTGACTTCAAAGTAATATACTAATATATTGTTTGTTTTGCAAACTGTGTTCTTCCTCGTTGCAGAATTGTCACAGAAAACCCATTCAAATTAGTAACTTGTGCCGAAGTCAAGGTGATATACTTATGCGGATGCCCATATTTGGGCCGTGACTAACCTGTGTTAACGTTTCTGACGACAACACTGGGTGACGCGGGTTCGAATGTCTCAGAGGATATCACTTCCCTCGAGGTTGAGGATAAGCATTGGCGACTCGTGTTAACATGAGCGGTGCTTCCTGCCGATCACTTCCGCTCCCGGACATCAAAGCACCGCAATGGTGAGCTTCCTAGTTTGACTGCACTACGAAAGTTACCGATGAAATTCGGTCACCACTTAGAACTAGGCAACATGGAATCGGTTACTCTCCGGTGACCAGTCAACATATGCCCGATCTATTAGGGGACTATCTTAGTAACTAGGCTAAACGCAGGTCACTTGAGGTACTTCACTGGGACAATTAAGATAAGCGTCAGGTCTGGGATTATTGCAGGAAGGTTTTGACGAAGCTTTGATCCACTGTCAGCATACTCTTTTAGTGAGACTTTTAAACACCTGACTAATACTGTTGGTTAGTTGTGTACAACAGCTGACTACTAATTCCACTAACATCAGAGCGTAAATCAGGTCATGAAACCCTTTATTGTGCAATCCAAGTATTTTGAAGTAGGACACGTCTAGCGGCTTGATAGCTTAAAAACGTTTTATGTGCATAAAGTATGTCTTGCTTTTTGTCTAGAAAGTTATTTGCAACTGGCCTAACGCTTTTCCTATTTTGGAGTTGCTCGCAGTGTCTACTGCAATTCGAGAGCCCGGCTCACATGTCTGGAGACGATTACTTGGTGTTTCTAGCTCTCACACAGCATTCAAGGACTATGCTACAAAACTATATGATGTTGCCGAGTTAGTTCGTCGTATTATTTTGTGTTTATCTTCCCAGTGTAGCGACGAGCCGATTAACTGTTGCGTTAGACAATATCTCATCAGGTCTCCATTCAGAATTTTTAAAACTTCCTAGTGTGCATTCAAACATAGTTGTCTGCATTTATTTGCTAAATATATTGTTGCCGATATACCAGTGCAATTCTTACTCTGTCGACAGATAAGACGAAGTATTTGTCTATTACGTTTATTAACAACAACTGAGAAAAATTACAGAATGTATGTAATTATAGCTCACCAAAGGAAAGGCGCTTTCTCACGAAGTGCTCTTGAACCAAAACGGTTCCACTCATTTGGCGTTAGCCATAAGTCATTTAGCAAATCAGTCGTAAGAAGTAGCCTAGCTCCAAACCATGGAAGATTTGCAGGATCCGGGTGGTGGATGATTTCAGCTGTTGGTATATGACTAGGTCCGGTTGTTGTTGCTTGCCTTTCTCTTGCAATTGCCGTCAATCTTTCGGTCAACCATCTTTCCATAATCTGGTTGCTAACCCCAGCTACACCTCCACCAGTCAAGATTATGCACCCCAATAGACGTCGACGAATCTCATCACCCACTGTACTTGAATTTTGTAGGGGTCTTCCCAGTGTGGAACTAGAGGTCTGTGCAATCGCCTCCGGACTTATCTGAGAGCCTACAAAGCTTGCACACTGGTTGATACTCCACCAAACTGCTTCTGGGAGTGATTCGAAAAAACTGGGTTTTTGCAAGATAAGATTAGCCACTGAAGGCACCTACACGAAAGTCAAGTAATCAATGTGTAAACAAAACTTAGTGTGAATTCATAAGTAACTAAGTATTTCAAATAGAAGTACGATGATTTTGATGTACTGATGAAAGAACTAATGTAACTTACCCTGATTGATTTCATGTCATTTAAGGTGAACACATACAACTACATACTTTCTCAATTCCTCAAAAATTAGTCGGCTACACACTCTCATGGTCTGCAAACGTCATAGTAACATTTTATCCTAGACAAGAACAGTATTTTGGTGACACTCAAATCTTAGTAGTTAAACCTGTTAATTTACTATAATCCACATAGCTAGCAATGAATTCAGTTAATGGAAGATATCATTACAGTGTGCCAGATGTATTTGTCATGAGTACTTTTAGAAGCCTACACACGATACCCGATGGTAAAACATCTAGCTCTTATGTAACCCCGATTGCTTATCCCTTAATACAACGAAAGTGTTAGTTGGTTTGTTTCATTGTTCTAAGCAATATGATCTTATTAGACTCGAGATTCATCAGTTTGGAGGCGTGAAGATGTGAACAAAGGCCTCTAAATAATCTTACTCGAATCGACGTCGATCAGTACTGGAGCGAAAAAACTCCACAATATTAGTGATTTGTATTTAAATGACCGTAGAAGTTTAACAGGAAGAGACATCTATTTCAATTATTGAGAGGAAATGCAACATAGCGTAAATTAGTACCGAATAACCTAAGCGTCTAATCGTGTCACTTCATCCTGATCAACTCATTAAAACTAAAACGATTAGGATTTAGTGTTAAACGTTTTTGAAGTTTTTAGAAGTCAGCTGCAACGCAGTAAAGGTTTGTGTTCTAGGCTATGAACCATACTTGATAAATTATAAGTCGTTGACCTGAACGTATTTAGAAAGAAAACTTAGTGAATGACATCAACTTAATTTGTAGTCGAGTCTAGTGATTCTCTGTGGTGCGGTAGTCGACTGCACAAAACTCTCTAAGAAACATAAAATTCAGTGAAAACTTAGTTGTGTATTAAGCGGATATTTATAGACAGATACTATTTGAGAAACGGTCAAGCAAGATGAAAACAGCCTCGAGCAAATTCCACTAGAAAACAATTTCCGATTGACTTAAAAAATAATGATTAACTGAGATAGCCGTGGTTTGGCAGATACGTATTGATACTGGGTGGCGATTGAAAGTGAAATAGAAATCTGACCAGAAGTCGGGTCTCGTAGCCCAGTTGGTAGACCATCGGGCCAGAAACCCGATGGTCACTGGTTCTAATCCAACCGCGGTCCAAATTTCCATTTCACCTTCAATCATCACCCGGTATAAATAATGATTAGGTAGAGGATGAGTGAGATGATAACCCGAGTACTATCTTAAGTAGTTATTGACGATTATATTCACTCTAAGAACACTGTAATTTTTTCAAACTCAGAAGTTTAGGTAGTTGTCTAACTAACTATTCAGTCTGCACTCAGGGCTAGACAACATGAAATTACTTACACTCTCGTGACTAATCAATACATGTAACCCAGTCCTCCATGAGGTCTATCGCGGCCCGAATAGTTCAGTGGTAAAGTCGCTAACTACAACACTGGGTGACGCGGGTCCGAATACCAGACGGGACACCAGTTATGTCGAGGTTGCAGATATGCCTTGCTAACGAGTCGCAAACAAGCAGGAAACCTAGGTTCAGCGCTTCCTACTAATTGCCTCCAACCAGCTAAAATCTAGGTAATTATCTCCTTGTCAATCAATTTATGAGTTCAAATTCACCCTAATCACCTTAGTTTGTACAGTCGTGTAACAATATATCCAAGTAGTTGCTGAATTATACTTCTTAAATATATCATTTCCACGTATAAACCAGATATTTGTAAAAGCCATAGTAAACCTTTTACTGTTTGGAATACTAGACATGCATGTGATATCCTCCAGAAGATATTAGGCAAATAAAACAAGTTAATTCATATTTTAGACTTAATTCTAAACGAACTATAGTGTTAGTGGAATAAAACAGAAAGCTAACTTGTTCAGTAACATCTATCTCTACTTCTGGTTGTTCTGTAGGTACAGCTGTCGATTGTTCATTGTGTAAACCACGTTTTCGCCGTTCACGTGCAGTAAGAGATATATACAAATCATCAAAAGGATCATCTGGTTCTGAAGAATGAAGTGAAGATAACTGATATGTACAATAGCCTTCTTTTGGTGGAATAGTTGTAGAAATACAAGCAAAAGGGAGGATATAAGATAATAAGATTGTAGATATATGAAGACATGAGATATTATATTGCTCCTGCTTTTGTATCCATTGAAATGCTATATTATAATCAGGTTTTGTTGAAGATTGACAAGAGTTGTATTGGGCCTCTTCACTCAACTTTATTGTTTCGCTTAGTTGACATAATACGTTCACTGAACATTGAATTGAATTTTCCATAAGTGTGCGTAAATCTTCTACATCAGAAAGATGTTCATATTTTAAATCTCTAAACAAAAAATTTCGTATAAACAGTCAATTTCATTAAAATTATACTACAATTACGATAAAAAGAAGCTAATTTACTACAGAAAATATAGATATTACGACTACAAAACAGTAATAACTATACAATTTCTGACACTTCTTCATCGGAAGCGATAACATCGTTCACTGTTTATCCATATTCACATTTCTGTTATCCATAATTAAGAGACAATAAGCAATATAGACAGAATTGTGGAGCTATGACTCACAGGCCTAAGCAATTAACTTTCAACCAACAGATCATGGGTTCGAACCCCACCCCACCTACCAAACGGTATCATTACCCTTCATGTAATAGGCATGATTCATTGCCTACTGCATGTGATTGTAGCTTTTGTTTGTAATCATGTTTACTGGTCAAATGTTGAAACATTGAAATGTATTTCATGTTCAAAAGTAATCAAAGTTCTGTTATATCAGCCGAAGAGTGGAAAACGTGAACACCTCAGATAAGTGTTATTGGTCATATCGGTTTGTTTATTTTAAGATTCATTTTGCTTATGACTTAATTGTTAATATCAATGTATGGCTCGGTTCAAGAGCTTTAGATTGATCCCTCATCCATTATTGTATGACCAATAGTTTAGAAATAATTGCATGTCGAATGAAGTGTATTATTGTGCATTACATTGAAACTGGTTATCTCGTTTTTATCAATCATGGTGTTGAGGTCAGTTAATAGGGTTGTATGTACAGATGAATCAGATCGCCTGAAACGCATACGAACAATAAGCATTGGATTTTGTGTTCTGTTGTAAGCAGTTAGAAGGGTGAAATTGTGTGACTCATTGTGCTAGTGAATTAAGTATACGAGACCAATCACGTTCAAGGTAAGCGTGATGACTGAATCAGTAGAATCCCATGCTTATGACGACAATTACAACCAGACAAAGTTATAACACGTTTTACAAAGGATTTAATTTTAGTCTTGGGAACCTTCAATTCATCCCTAGCTTCAAACACGACCAGATTTTATTGGTCTTATAGACGTAAAATATTTCCTGTTTGTTATCCATACATAATTTAAATGATGTGAAACTTTTTTGTGATATCTGTCGACAGACGTCAACTTTGGACTTTTTGACTCAGCTGTTTTTGTTTTTTTGAAATATGTTAGTCTCAGATCAATCATGTATCCAATTTTAATTGTCACTACACTTATCGAAATTTCTATTAACTTATATTTGAACAATACTGAATTGCACAGGTCCTCAGCAAAACTCTTTTGTGGAAGCCAAACTGAGAAGAAAAGCTACTATACTATTGGATAATACAATGAGACCGAAGCCTAGAATGACTAGTTAATAAGATAGAAAGAAAACCAGTATACTAGATGACATTGAGAAGTTTCAAAAAAGCTCAACTGCTAGTGGTAAAGGATTTTCATAATCATAAGGAACGAAAGATATCAGGTATTATTCAAAGCAGAAATGGAGATATCATCTGTAAAATGGGAGTTCAAGATATGACAAAATAATAATAATAATGATAATAATGATAATAATAATAGTTTTGTTCTAGACAGTATGTTTGATACAGTATGGAATTCTCAGCATGTAATAAATCATTAAAGTCACTCCCAAAACAATATTTTCAAACGAAATAAATATTGCATCTTGATGATGTTTATAATAACGGCATCAATGGTAATAATGTGAAGCAGCCGGTTTATACTGGACTGGCACCTGCTTTTTAGTGGTGATGGTTCATTCAGCCAGTAGAAGAATGTACTATTCGAGATACGTATCCGAAGAATAGAAATATGATGTATTTCTGTGTATTCCAAAGTCCATTTCCGTCTAACAAGACACTTTCCCCGCCTTTTGTTATTACTTCAAAAATGAATAGTTCAGAACATTTTAAAAATCCCCAAGAGTAAATGATATGTTTGGAGGACATATTTGAGAGATTAAAACAAACTGAAAGGGAGGAATTCGATACAATATATCCGGTGGAAAATTTTATTGGTAGGCCAAAGTTCAAGCAGGCCGCTGTTGATGAGCTGAATAAACCAAGGTAGAATTTACGACACAAGCTCATCAGTTTACTTTGCTGCATTTAACAACCCCATGTGAAGAAGTGAACAGAGAACGAATGGAATTAAAGTAGATGAAAGTGCATGAGAGGAGGGAGAATGAAGATTCGTAAAAATATTCAAGACTTCGAAGATGAAAAGGAGTGAATACATTTAAGGTATTGTGATCCACTTTCATTTATATCACTAAAAGTAACCAAACAATGATTCCTATCGGCTCGAGTACCTAAGCTAGGTAGTAGGAAAATGTGAACCATTGGATTACGACTCAGTGGCTCAATAGCAACCTGCTGACTACGTAAGCTGAAAGTCCTGGGTCCGACCCTGGTGGGGGGGGGTCATGGATGTGCACTTATGAGGAGTCCCATGCTAGGACAAAACGACTGTCCAATGCTTCCAGGTTCTCAATGTGTTTTTTTAGTTGATGTCAGCCTGTGATGAATATCAACTTGGAATCAATAAAACCATCACAAACCTCCAAATTAAAATAAGGCAGTGGTAAAGATTTTAAAAATGGATTTGCTAGAAATAGATTTTTTCATCGAAGTTTATTTTTGTAACAGGATATGTTAATATACTCCATATACCCTGTAAGCTAAGAATAAGGTATTATGATATGAATTTCGATTTTTAGTTAGAAATAATATACCAGTTTTGTATCCAATCATAAGTTGGCTGCTTGTCATATGACGATGATATATTGACAGGAATGAATTGAATAATTTAGAACACAGTTGATTGCTAACACTTAAACGTCATAATTAGATGATAGGAGAGAAATAATCATATTATTCACAAAACTGGTCATTTATGCGCGAATTGTCATAGGTATTTATAACGAAAGGTTGTAGAGAGCTAAGGAGTAAGAGTATGAAAAGATGTTAAGCAAGAAAGCTAAACCAAAGGCCAAAATAACAACGAAAATTAATACAGCAAAAACAATAGTAGATCAAACTTGCTTACAGAGCTGAGTTTAGTAAGGGAGGTTTAATGTGATAACAATACACTGTTTTTGAACACATAACGACTGTCTTTTTGGTGTTATAAATTGTAAATCTCTATCTTTAATTGGACCAAATTAACCAGTTACCATTGGGTATCGTGACTTAACGAGCTAATGGACAACAATCTGGCGTTTTAAGCGGTTTCTTCTGGATTCGAGACTCAGTGGGAACGACATCATTGGCAGAGGTGCAGGTGCATCCAGCTGACGAGTCTTAAATACGAGGAAACGTGGGTACTGGATCCCACTATTAAACACTATCCATCATTAGTATCAAAAAGTAACGGTGGTTTAAACTTCTTAATAGCTAAGGCGTCGAGAAATTTAAGGGTCTGTTCGCAAGACCCTAATGATATGACTTTATCAAGTAATAAAAAATAAACACATTCACATACTGAAAGAATGTTTCCGAACAGGATGAAAAAATGTACCTTCAATAGGCTATTGCTTAATCTATGCAAATAATGCCCAAATATGAACTTACACAATACAACCATCTTTATTAAGAAAACCACTAGGTAATGCAAGTGAATGGAATACTCTTAGAACGTCGCTTCGACCAACTGGTAAGGTAACACGAGCTTCTGCATGAGCAATTCCATCTTCGACACAACACACACTAGTTTTCTGCTCCCCCACATTGATAACACAAGCTGTAGGTAAACCAATACCATAGGTGGCACATACACTAGCTTGATGCACAAAAACACGACCAAATTTCATTCTATTCAGTAATAAATGAACCAAATGACGTATCTCATTTCTTTTATACACATCACTGATTATAAGTATTGCTCTGTAACTAGTAATATTTGATCGCGGAATCCCAACCTATTAAATGAAAATTAATTAGGACAGTGAACTGTTATTTTACTACTGAATAAAGAAGAGATAAAAACAGACGATTAACACAGCTACTGAGCATTGAGTAAAACGGAAGATTTACTCGCTGCTACTTCCCCGGAACATTGTTAATGTATATGAAAAGGAGAAACCAAATCAAAGAAAATGTAGCTATACCAACGATGACTTTAATGTCGGTGGGTGGATTTCACCATACTTATTTCTCGGTTGGCTACACACTAAACTGGTGATGAAATCGGTTAATTAAGACCACGACCCTAGTACGACTGATTTGATAGGATCAACTAGCGACTACTGGCGACACAAACTAAATGAAGGTGAAAGAGTGGACTGCAAGCGTACTCACTGCATATATTCCCACCAATATGCAGACTCAAGAAGCAAAACGTTAATTAAGTTACTTATAAACAAAAGTATGACCATGGTAAAATAGTTATTAGTTAATGTTTTAAAAATGAATACTCAGTTACGGGTAGTGTGGAAGTAAGCAGCCAATAGCCAAAAAATTACTACGCATACATGTAAGGCTACACTTCCATCCACTGAAACCATAAAGAAATCATATGACACTGCGACTGTTTGTTAGTGTAACTCAACAACCGAGTATGGTTTTATGTCCTACGGTATGACAGACAAAATCAAAGTAGAAAACTAGCACCTAAGTTGCTACACTTCATAGCAAATTCACCTGACCTAACCTTCAGGCCAGTGCTTGAAATTTCAGTGCCTAAGTCAGTAAGTGGCAAGTCTACAATAACTCTCTAACAGTTCGGTATTACAAGCTACCTCCTTCAATTCAAAACATTGTTTAACAATCGATGACTGAATAAAAACGATTGATTATGGCTTTCATGTGATAGACAAATGATACTGGTTCATTTTTCACATACATTTTCTGAAAAGGGTACTAACAAGTACAAAGTAATAGTGGCTATTATCTCCATCTGTTGACCAACAAAGTGACGAGTTACATAGCTCACTGTATTTAACAAGGGTACTTGTGGTCTCAGAAAACCAGTTATTCGTTGTTTAACATCTAACACTGTTTGTGGTTTCCAAATTGAGTCCTGTGGGAAAGGTTTTAGTCATGAGAAAATGTATCGTAATGTCGATCCCTTCAACTCACTGTAATTAGTGTTGAGTGTAATCAGTAGGGAACCTTGAAGCTAGGTTTCATGGCTACATAGTAAAACATATCTGCGATCCTCAAGACTACGATACCTTATCAAGGAGTCAAACTTGTTTCGCTAGTACTACGGTCCAAGATATTAACAACTAAGTAATTAGGCTATGACTGAAGCCTGTAAATCATTCAGTCACTATTAATGTAAGACCAAGAATTACTGCGCAAGGGACCCCCGTAGGACTAGACCAAGTAGAATCATCAGTCATCTAAAGCATTCGACTTTGTCGACCGAAAGGCCCATGAAAATGTCTGACAGTCAAAGGAGCATCGATTAAGTAGGCAACACTAAACAAAGCTCTCTAATGAAATACATACGGCCATGTAAAGGCTTATGGAGAGTTTTCATCTGAGTCGACGACAACTAGTGGTGTCCGCTAAGGGTACCCACTGTCACTCCCTGTTCAACTTCGTTGTGGATGTATTAATGAGCATCACCTTGGATAAAACTAACTTCCCATGGAATGATTTGCTCTGTGGACGGCAAGCATCTGACTTGAAGTGCACAGCCGACATTGCGCTTGGGATATGGCGATGACAAAAATCAAGGCCTCCGGAAAGCAGTGAGTAGAAATTCAAGCTTTAGTATGCATTTTGCACATGTCAAATGTAAGATGATGCTTCAGAACTGGTCTGCAACTACTCACAGTCTAATGATAGGGAGAAGAGTGGCAGAATGCGTCGACCACTTCGCTTACTTGGAAAGATGCATCACAGAAAAGGCTGGTTGCTGATGAAATCTCAAATCGGATAAATAAGGTCAGTTTGGTCTACGCCAACTTGTGTCATCTGTGGCGCCGTCTGGTGAGATATCCGACTATCTATCGAAAGGCAAGTATACTGCGCTTCAATACTCCCTGTCCTGTTATACGGCTGTGAAACTGGGCCGTTACACGTAGAATATATGGATAAAGTACCTCATAACCTTGCTCGCTTAAGATGGAATCACCATGCAACGAATGTAGAGGTTAGGTATGATAAGTAATGCAGTCGGTGAGGTTGTGAACCTTTATCAATTGAGGTGGGTTAGACATGTGTTGTACATGCCAAGACACTGCCTACCTCGACTCGCAGTGGTAGGAAAATTCGGACTACGTTGAAAGAGGGTTCAGGGCTTTTTTGTATGCAATTGTGAAGTGTGGCTGCTTGAACCAATGCACTTCTGTATCAGATTCTACGTTGATGTTGTCTATATCTCTGTTTGATGGAAGAGCTAATGAATTTCATATTGCTTTGTCTAGTCACCAGCTAAGAGTAAAATTTAGGCGTAAATACTCCAAAATTGCGAATTACCAGATTTTAGCCTACATTTGTGAATGAAATATCCATACAGAATATTATTTTGTTTAATTTTAAATTCACTAGTATGCCTCCATTTAATCAATAAAATGAAATTAACACTGAGCAAATCATGACGGAGTTTTTACAGTCCGTTTGTTGTTGAACCTTGGGACAATTTATGAACAATACACAGTTAAGTGTTAAATAACTATAACACTAATTTGCTGTAATATCACATCAGGTGTAAAATATATTAAGTTAATACCATTAGGTTTAGAAATCATACTAATCTTTAACACACTAACAGTCACTGAATGTTAACCAGTTACTGCTGCTTCAGCCTCGATGATGATTAAGTTTCTCCATTAGGTTTTAAATATTCTTACCAAGCAAAGTTATGCAACAGGGTGAACTGGTGGGACTCCGGCTTTTGTACCCTGACACACATCAACACAGGCATAGCCGAAATCCTATCATAGAAACTACGGTTAAAAACTGAAATGATACTCAAATGTTGTTTTTTCCTTTGACACAGTAATAACATATTAAAGCTCCCATTAGAAAAAAGAAAATAGAAATACACTCAGTAATTTTGTGGATGTTCGTGCAGTAGGCAATGAGCCACACGTGTTATGTGAGAGCTAATATTACTACTCCTACTACTGTTTTGTTACTACTACGATAGTTTTATCTAATCCACTTATCATTTTGCTAACATGATAATGTTTCCACTACTTGTTTCTGATTTTATCTCACTCATTCACTAACACTCTTCACCTTGCCTTAGTCTTATGTAATTCTTATGTAGTTTGACTGGATTTGTTACGTGAACTTCCTTCGCGCCCTGAATATTGTTTTCCTGATCTTTAAAACATCAACTGGTATCTTAAAACTCTCCGTGTAAAGTATGTTAATATTTGTTGTAGCGACTGTTTACTTATTTATTCAGGTTGTATGCAATCGAAGAAAACTCTATGGTAAAAATGACGTCCTCTTATCCTGCGAACGGCGTTCTTATTGCACTGCTCTAGATATGAATGACCAGAATATTGAAAAAACTGATTATTTAGCGTTACAAAGTTGATAAGTGAGCTCCGCTTTAACTTGTTTCCTAATATAATATGCGTGCTAGGTAAGGTACAGTCGAACACTTGCATTAAGTTATACGAGCGTACAGTCATGTAATTACTTCCTCTCTAAGGAGATAAAAAGAAAGAGATGTTTAAAAAGTGAATGCTGTCACATAAAATGATCATAGTTAGCTGGCTGCTTGAATCCAAATATCTGTTAACCACAGTGTTAATCAGCTGACCCAGAGGCTCATCGCCCTACTGACGGCTTTCACAGCCCAATGCAATATAACATAGTCTTTTCTGAGTAGATCAGGTGAGATTAATCGGAAACAATAGAGAAGAATAGGTGAAGTACAGAAACTAATAAACTCCAAAAGTAGAGGCCAAGTTATACCAGAAAGTCCCAGCTTCCTTATGCAATACCTTGGACAAAAATTTTCTTCGAGGTCAACAAGATATGAGGCGACCAACAAAGATCGAAAGTTAAGCCCAATGGAAGATAGGTAACACTCAATTAGCTTTCTACAGTAATACTACAAATAATATAGGAACCATGGAACCAAGGTAGGTCACATAAGTCTTTTCTACACTTGAGGCTAAAATTAACAGTCTGACATTTAGAAGGGTTTACCTTGAGAGCATCGCGATAGTATCACTAGTCAATTTCCGACAAGGAACGATTTACTTGACAGCAATCTGAGAGATGGTTTGTATGGAGACCATCAGTTTATCCGCATACTCGGTAAAATTAGTTTTAGCTAATTAAGGTAAGTCATGCAAAAAGAAAGGAAACAGAAATGGAGAAAGTAATGCACCTTAGGGCACACCGGCCTCAGTAAGCAATGAAGCGAGGCACCCTCCTTTGCAAGTAGTATGTTGATTCCTCTCAGAAAAACAATAATGCAGCTAGTTTATAACCCATGGCTCAGTGTGAGCTATGGCAAGCTTATTTAACAAGAGTGACCTAGGAACAGAGTCAAAGGCTGATGTATGACCTAGAAAGGTATGGCGAACATACTTAACTCCTTTGTCTAGAAGACATTTGCAGTATATAAAGTACTTCTGTTTTTTGAGGTGATAGAGGATATTTGTAGATCAGGAAGATTTTGATGCTGTGTTGTCTAAGCTGGATTGTTTAATCGTTTCAACAATCCAACCCAGAGAAGACAACGCCATCAAAGTACTTCTTCTTTGATTGTAAGTGAATCGTTTCAGATCCCTGAAAGACTTCGACGAAGGCTCAAGCATAAGCAGAAATGATTTTCTTGTTGTTTTCAAAAAGTAGAGATTACCGTAATCGGTATAAACTTAACGTCTGATCCAGATGATTATTAAATAAATCAGTAATTAAAGTTGGAGAGATTCACAGAAAAAATACACAATTTTTACTAGCGTTTCAGAAGAAATATAGAATTAAACGTCTTTCGCATTTATACAATGTGTAACACGAAATCGATGTACTGGCTAACAAATATATATGATGAATTGTGATGAGTAAATTTCATAATATAGAGATGCTGATACTTGGTTTCTCGCTGTAAGTTGAATTAGCAATGAAAGCGGAGTATTGGACAGCCACCAATCTTATTTCACTGAGGACTTAGGAATATACGTCGGCGACACTATGTTAAGTTTTATTTCAACCTTTAACTTCATCAAATATCTATTTAATCAAAGCATAATTTGTCTAGTTTCATACCTATCATAATACAGACTGAATATGTCATTTACGACATTACTTACTCACGTAGTAGACATTTCATCACAATCATTTCTCAATGTAAAAATGGAAATCACACCATTTGACTTTACAGAGCACTGGCACAGTTTTAAGCGGATACGAAGACAATCATTATGCATTTAACAATCACATCATTCAAAAACATTATTTTCGCGAAATAAGCTCTTGAAATTAAATACATACATGTTTTTCTAAAGCTGTAACCCAAATATCCTCTAAATCTTGAAGTACAGCAGTGTAATTAGCAGAGGGTGAAAGAAATCCATAACGCATAGGCCAACTAATATGATAACCGTCTTTGAAACCTCGACTGAAAGCTTCATTCAAAGCATAAAACTCCTGGTCTGGAGGCGTCTGATTCTCCCATTCAAAAAGTTTGGCATCTTCAAACTCACTAACTTCTAGTTTACACGGAATGATAGTAGGTAATTTAACTGTTTCTGGTGAATAGTTCAAATTGAATAGTGTATTCACACACGACCTAACTGAATTCACAGATTTTTGAAATGAAGACGATCCACCGTTAAGCTTAGATCGATTAATGATTGGTTCAACACAAGGTGGAACATTTGGTTTGGGCTTACGAGCGATGCAGTGCGGAAATTTTTTAGGTGAGGTTTCTAAAGCACGACCAATGCGTAGATGAAAGGAACCAGGTTCAATGATAACAACATTTTCAGCTAGAGTCGATTGATTACGCATTTTATCCAATAAAATACTAAAAAACAAAAGATTCAAAAGTAATCAAAGAATTCACACCATGCACACAACGAAAACCAATTTACCGAATAATACAAAACAGGACTTATGCGCTGAAATGCTACTTAGGGTAACTGAGACTTTCCTGTTGCTCATATCGTGAAACTAAGACAACACATTACACATTAATTATGATCCCATAAAACCTTACGATAACTAATCCCAATTTTAGCCTATTGAATTTAGTTGCAGACTAACATATGGTAAACATATCTAAATCAGTCAGTCATCAAAATGGAAATTATTCCGCGTTGTATGAAACGCACCTAAAGATTGCTTTTAAACTAGACCAAAACCGCAGATTCGACTCGTTAAAACCAACTTGAAACGCGTTTTTGACCTCATTCGTATCGAAGTGCAAACAACTACTTTGCTTTCAATCACTAAAAGATGAGTTCAAACCTTGCTAACTGCCTTGGTTTGAGTAGCCAACAGAATAACGTAGTATGACTTGTTACATTTTGAACAATACACAGGGAATTGGTATGTTTAGAAATTTTGTTATCTATGTTAAACGAATTTCGATTTTGGAAAGCCGAAGAGATGTAGCTTACAGTCTGCTGACCCAAAAATGTGTACGGTTAGTGAGTATAAAAAATTAGTATTCACGTGTGCTTTCGTTGAAATCTTAACCATCAACACAGTACATCTCTGCAATAAAGATACAAGGAAACTCAAATCGTATCCTGAAATAAAGAAAAGAATACTAAGTCAATATAAAATTAGTTTGTTTTCTCACCCAGGTAACGACGTAGAACTCTAAAGTAATAACATTTTCCGCGATATTATGCTATTTAAAATTTTAGAATTTTGAGCTTCCTTCCCAGATTTAACACACCTATATATTTATTTAGTATTCATTTATAAGATTGCTTTATCTTTAGCTGTTCAACAAGTTACCGATATATAAAAGCTAAAAATGATATACTCGCATGTCCAGTTCTGTGATCTTAATGAGCGGCCACTTAAATGTGGTCTGCTCCATCCGTTGTTAGGGATGAGGAGCAACACAGTTTTATTAATTTATTGTTCTACTTGGAAGAAACATTACCAAATTACAACGTGCACATTTAAGTCCTAATCGAATAAGCTAAGGTTGTAACTAAATGCCATAAATCTTTAGTTAGGGTCTTCCCCGAAGCTTCCAAAGTATGCCAAAAGTGAATGACAGCCGGTTTACGATTACCTTGTAGTAATTCGAATTACTAAGGTGATAACCTTTCATAGACTCTACAGTCTCACTAACCTGGTGCACAAAATGAATCTGAAGTCAACACTTCGAGGCACTGACGATGAGCCGGAAATTAGGCTATAACTTGAAGTTTAAAACTGCTAACTTTATCATAATAATTACTATTCAGCTTCAATCCTGCTTGCTTCAAGGTCACATGAACGTTGTTTGTCTTTGCCGCACTTTGTGATATTTTTAGTATGCACGATGCAAACGTTTTATTAATTTCATCATTCTTTTTGTACAAATTCCTTTTACTAGAAATTAGCTGCAGGAGTACAGTCAACCGTAAGTTTTTGACTGTTGCTTCCTGATTCTTGAGGCTCAGCTATTTATGTGCAGCTGTACTTTTCCAATGGGTAATAAAGTCATTTCGATTAATTGGTATTCACCTTTGGTTAAATTGGAAGCATCGTTGAAAAAACCTTTCTAATTTTTAGGGTCGCTGGTATGAAAAGTCTCGAGTTGCTAACAAATCAGTTTCACATTTCTCAGATAGTCTTTGTCATTTTAGGATTTGTCCTGGTTCGAACTTGACAGATAAAAAGACCAATCACTGATTATTCGGATTTGTTATATACCCACGAATACGAGACCAAGGAAGAACACGATAGCGTAGTCGGATGGAATAGTATATTTGGATAGTTATGCCAAGATACCGATGTGTTCCAACTAACTGGCCAGAGAGTCGAATACTAGCAGTGCAACGTAACAGGACAGCGTGCCAAATGGCGAGGATACCTGACCGGATGCCTTCAGCTCAGTGAGTCCAGTTAAACTATCAAGGTCAGCATCAATGTCGAAAGTCGTCAAACCCTAGGGTATTGATTTTGGGGAAGTGTGTGAGGCTACAGATCACTCTCCTCCTGGTGGGTTCGTGAGGACCCAAAGACGATTTTAGCCGGAAGTAAAAACCCAGTGGTTTGTACACTGGTAGAACTCTACCAATGGGCTCACTGCGTGAAGTGGCTCCTGGTTGTCTGAACTTATTCTAGGGTGTCTTGGCAATTAAAAAATAAAATACAATAAATCGAATTGTATGTCGATCGCAGTCCTCAGTTTTCTCTGACGCTGCTTCCAGTGCTCGTTGCACCTGGAATATAAATGAAAGTCTTTAATACCATGAAAACGCTCTGAAAAAAATGGGGATCACGTATATGTGCGGGGATGCGTGTTACAATTCCGTAACGTTTGATCAACCCTACTTAATTTGATGTGCTCTAGTACCTGCTTAACCAGTACTTTACCTAACGTGTAAGTACTGGTAACAAAACACAAATCAAAAGAACTGATACGCAATGTATTTAAAGGAGCTATGTATTTAAGGTAAATGTATAATAATGAATGAGGGAAAAGTTTAATCAACTTATCTGGCTTGTAAGGCTGAACTAGGGACTCGGAGTACGTGCGTGGTGATCAGCACAATGGAGCGCAAAAATGGCGTCCAAGCCTGCTCGGATGCATGCTCGTTAAAACAAAACTTAAAACACCCTAAGCATCCGGAGGCAAGCTAGAGATTTATTTAGTTAATTTAATTTAAACTATTTATTTTAGCCCTAGTTATATTTTGGTGCCAGGAAGGTGCACTACAGGTTATCCCCCTCCTAGAAGGTTGTTGGGATACCGGCAACCTTCGATCCTAGGAGGCGACTGCGAGGCGGACACGCAACACCTTTCCATATTGGTGATGGAGTAGGTGACGTGTGGGTCTCCGAAGCTAGTGCAACTATGCACACCTACGAGGTAAGATAACTTTGCGTCTAGACGCAACCCTTCTCGCAGTGGTGGAAGGTGACCCAAAGCCTCCGTCTACTTTTCCCTATTGCTTCTTAATCTACCGGGGAGTGTACAGGGGGAAATTGGTACAAAGAGAACCGAAGAACGATCCAAGTAGCATCGTCAGCGGCCAATTGTATCCAATTTTCAACGCATTTTCTAGGTTCTGCAAGAAGAAAGAAATGGGACATTAGAGTGCTAAGAAAAGGAAAACCAAACAATTCGAAGTGGGAGGAGTACAGAAAAAAAAATAATAACCAACCAAAAAAAGTTTTCGGAATTTAAATTGTATTTTTGGTTTTTCTTTTTTTTGAAAAAAAAACTGTTTGCAAAGTAGTAAACATGACTTTTGAAAACTTTAGGTATGAAAACGCATTGAAAGTGTATGCCACGACAAAGTAGTTGAAACTCCGAATTCACCAAGTGTGAAGTTGCTCTGGGGCTAATTAACGAACTCGGCGTATCGCTTGGGCCAATGTACACGCCTCCCAGCACGTGTAGAGGTTACTGGATCAGTGTTACTAGACGTGGCTCTTTTAGAAGGTTCAGGATACGCGCGACTAAACGAGTCTGTTTGGGAGTCCGGCGGCAAGGGTCTGGGTGTGCCTGTGGAGGTGTCGCACAATATTGACACTTCACTGTTCAGGAGCGGTAACGCTGTATCTTCAGAGAGGATGAGTGTTGAAGTTTTTCCAATCTCCTCGTCTGAATCCTGAAGTTCGGCAATCTTCCGTAAGTCGACTGCTCGAGGCAAAGTAGTGGTGCAAACGCGAGACAGTGCGTCCGCGACAGGGTTATTCACACCAGAAATATGACGGATGTCCGACGTGAATTGCGAAATATAATCTAGGTGACGTAATTCACGCGGTGAATATCTGTCAGTAGTGGTGTGTAAGGCATACGTCAGAGGTTTATGGTCGGTAAAGATGATGAAGTCACGACCTTCCACAAAATGACGAAAATGTTTCACTGAGGCATATATGGCGAGCAGTTCCCTGCCGAAAGTGCTGTACCGCATTTCGCAGGTGGATAACTTCCGGAGAAGAATGCAACTGGGATCCAAGTGTGATCCGAAAGTTGTTGCAACACAGCTCCAATGGCCGTGTTAGAGGCGTCAACCGCAATGCTAAGAGGTAGGTTTACGTCTTGATGCACCAGCATCGTGGCGTCTGCTATTGCGGTTTTGATCTTGCGAAATGCTTCTAGTGCCTCAGGAGTCAAGCTGAAAGTTTTACATTTACTTTTCAGCAGGTCGGTCAGTGCAGTCAAAATGTGTGCACATTGGGGAACGAAGCGACGATAATAGCTCACCATACCCAGAAACACACGCAGAGCTTTAAGTGACGCTGGGACTGGGAAGTCTTGGATCGCCTGTACCTTTTCAGGTAGTGGGCGAATGCCTTGCTCGTCGATAACGTGTCCCAAAAATTTTAGTGAACGAACGCCAATTGGCATTTGGCCAGGTTGACTGTCATCGAATGCTCTGACAGTCTGGCGAAAACCTGTTTCAAGTGGTTAAATGAGTGTCTTCGTCTGGACTAGCGATTAGTATATCGTCTAGGTAGGCATAGGCGAAATCGAGTCCACGTAAAACATCGTGAATAAAACGTTGGAAGGTTTGTGCTGCATTGCGAAGACCAAAAGGCATACGGAGGAACTCAAAAAGACCAAACGGTGTAATGACGGCTGTCTTGGGAACATCATCAGGATGAACCGGGATCTGATGATATGCACGCGTCAAGTCAAGCTTACTGAAGATAACCGAGCCTTTTAAAGATGCAGTCAAGTCGTGAATGTGAGGGACTGGGTAACGATCTGGAATCGTTTTAGCGTTGAGCCTTCGGTAGTCACCACAAGGCCTCCAGTCCATGCCATTGTTCTTGGGTACCACATGCAAGGGTGAAGACCATGGACTGTTGGATGGTCTGATTATTCCCATTTCAAGCATGTGTTCGAACTCGGCTTTTACAGCACGCAGTTTCTCCGGGGATAATCGCCGTGGTTTCGCAAACACTGGCGGGCCAGTCGTCGTTATGTGATGAGAAACGTTCGAAGTCACACAAGGGACACAACGACTTGGCTTAAAGACATCCGGAAAGGACTGAATGATAGACGCGTAGGGACTAGAAGCGTCCGTCGTGCAGTACACGGGACTGAGGGGCGGCGTCTTTGTGACTATACCGGAAACAGAGAGTGTTGTGGTAGAATCTATCAACTTATGCTTGCCAGCATCTACCAGCAGCTGATAGTGCTGCAAGAGATCCATACCAATAATGCCGGTGGTCACATCTGCCACTATGAAAACCCAACGAAAGGGACGACGCAATCCAAGGTTGAGATCGAGGAATCTCCGACCATAGGTTGTGATGGGCGAACCGTTGGCGGCACGAAGTTGCAGAGACATTGGCCGCAGACGCTCTTCCTTCGTAGGTGGGATGACGCTAGCTTCTGCCCCAGTGTCAACTAGGAAGCGTATCCCAGAATGTCGATCAGTGACGAAGAAGAGGCGACATGGAAGTGGCTCGCCAGCGACGTTAGTCGCCGTCACGTGCTGGCTCACACGTTTCCCGCCTGGTTAGCCTCGAAGGTGCAAGGTCGAGTGCACTTTTTGGCATTGGCACCATAACGTTTATGGTACCAGCACAACCTGGGTTGGATTGTCGCGATTTGGAACGTCTGCTGCCGGTACGGGAGGCAGACCTGTTGCGCGAGCGAGACGTGCGACCTTTGTAAGAACTACCAGACCGCATTTCGTTCCTGATGCTGCACAACTCTTCATACAATTTTGAGATGTGAGCTATAACATCGAAACTTGTTGGCTCACCAGCCGAGGGAGGATGTGGGTTTTGGACGAATCCGTGGCAGTAGACAGTGCAGCTGAGATACTAGTGTTGGGTTTCGTAGCATCCACAGCTCTGTCAGCCGCTTCCGCCAACTCTATTAAGGGACACTTATGGAAGGGTGCGAGGATCCCTTGAACCGACTGTGGTAACCTCTGTAACCACAGTTGCTTGAGAAATGCTTCATCAATGTTGAAGTCAGCAATCAGCTGCTTCATCTGACGAAGCAGTTGCGTCGGCTTGCGATCACCCAGATGCACATCCCTGAAAAGTTCTTGCACTTTCTGCTGGTCAGTAAGTGCAACACGTTTGATGAGGGCGGTTTTGAGGCGATCGTAAAGATTCGGTGCTGGGTCATCTAGCACATCTGAGACGTCTTCAATCACATTTTCCGGTAAGCTGACGATGACTAAGTTGGACTTAGTTTCTTGTGATTGAATGTGTCTCAAGGCAAACTGAGCTTCCACATGGGAGAACCATGCAGATGGTCTGTGGGCCCAGAAGGTGGGAAGCTGGAGGGTTATGGCCATCTGCGCAGTCGAGTCGTTATCCGC